TAACTTAAGATTTGAAATAAAAGTCCGAGGTTATTTTGGTTTCAACTCTGAAGTTGAATTTCTTGACTTTGATTTCATTGGCCCGCTTGCGCACTGGGGCCCACCGATAGTGAGTACTAAAGCGTACACTCTATAGTTTGGTTAATCAGAGCCATTCAATATTAGAGTTAAAGAACGGTTTCGAAGAAGAGAGGTAAGAGAAGTAAATCTGCTGTTAGTAGAATTGTAGCGGAGGAAAGAGAATAGTAAACGGTGTCTGACAGTATTTATCCTTTAATCATTTTCGTTTTTCTCAGAGTTCTTAATTGACACTGTATATTGGGTATGAAGTTTTTTCTTCTTTCTCCCCAATTGAGAGATTTAATTGCCGCATCTTTCCCATTTTGACAGGGAATCATTCTCCCTAATTAATTTTTCGTTTCAGCTTACTAATCTATACTATTTCAAAGCAAAGAAGTTTTCAGAGAAAACCATGAGTCGGTCCTTTCAATAATTGTAAACAAAGTGTTTGAGCAATCGGGTATACGAGGTATAGTAATCAATAGCCATATATCAGAAGTCTTCAGAAAGAAAATATTCTGTTTCAAAAGCTGTCAAGAAAGCTAGTAATCGTGGCAATTAAATGCACTTCTTAGCAATTTGGAAACGGGCCCTCGGTATCGATTTAGGGTGTACTACAACGAGGTTGATGAACATCCGCTTAAAGATGAGAACAGCCAGTTGAGGGGAGAAAAAATAAAATTAGAAGAATCGTTGGTACAGGAGAAGGCAAAGCGATTGCGAGTGCATAAAAAAGCCCGAGAAGCTCTCGAGAAAGCTGAGAAGAAAGGGGCCTTCTACAATAAAAAATTTATTCAGTTGGCCAAAAAAGTGATTGCAAATGGAAAAAAAGGTAGAGACCCAGCTAAGAAGAAGTTTAATGACTATTCTAAGCACCATCAAAAGAGAATTAAAAACCAACAGAAGGAGGAGTGCTAAACTACTCTCTCCTTTCTTGGGCTGTACAATTTTGTTGCAACCAAAATAATATTGAAGTCCTCAACACTGAGACTAATCAATATGAAACTTTCAATCTTGTTGGAGAGGGAGAGCTGCCATTTACAGAGTCTGACCCAAAAGCCCTTAATAATGATGACATTGATAACATAAATATGTGGCTCTACCTCAAAGATAAATTCATTATTTCAAATGAGGCCTGGCATGAAATTGCCATTAAGGCTAATGATCTCCCAATATATATTCCATCAAGAAGCAAATTAATGAGCTAAACAATGAATGGAACTTGAAACCAACACCAGGAGATGCTGAAGGTGTTCAGTTAGGATTTGCAGAAAGCTTGCAAGAGCACATTGTTAGGCTTCAGAAGAATGGAGAAATCAATGATGGAGAAACTATTACCAAGCTTAGTGGTGATGGTACAAATATTGGAAAGGGGCTTACTATTCTCCATGAAAAGGATGTGGCAATGGGTGTGAAGGGAAATTATATACTTGCTATTATAAAAACTACAGAGACATGATAATCTGAGAGACAGCCTAGCAGACCCTCGAATGGAAATGTCAAACTTAAAGGAGATAAGTGCAAATAATTGCACCTATAAAATTGAATACTTTTTAGGTGGAGATTTGAAATTTTTAGCACTGGTATGTGGTTTAGGCAGGGCAAATGAGCATTATGCTTGTGTGTGATGCAAGTGTCCCAGGGAGCAACAGTGGGACACAAGCAAAACATGGTCAATTAATGACCCCAAATTTGGTGCTAGAACTGTCACCAAAATAGCAAGGTTCTCCACTGGAAAGAAATTAAACTGTAAGGCACAACCATTGTTTGATTTTTATACCCATGGACCATGTCATCAATACATTACATTTTTTTTCTGAAATCATAAGAGAGCTGAGAAGAAGTGATACTATTGAGAAAAAACCTCTGATGGATTCCTAAGGGATAAATATAAACACATGGCATGTTATGAAGAATTTATCAACAGTATGGGAATAACTTTTAATTTTAGAATCAACAAAGAGAGCAAAAAGCTGGAATATAGAGATCTTACTGAACCAGAAAAGTTGAAACTCTTTCAGAATATAAACATTCCGACCTATTCTTGTCCCTCATTACAGTCAAAACAAAGACATACAAGTGATCTGGGCTAAATCTATGGACATAATTGGTGATTTGAAGCTAGATTTTACATCTGAAGAGGGTATCCTTGAACTGCAAAGAATTATCAAATCATGGTTTGAGCACTTTCTCAAAGTTTACCAAGCAAAAGATGTCACTCCCTACATGCATACACTATGTTATCATTTTCCTGAGTTCCTGTCACTTTATCAGAACATAGCATATTACACACAGCAAGGCTTGGAAAAAATACAATAGTAGAGCTTCTAAAGATTTCTTCAGATCCACAAATCACAAAGGGGTTGATGCCCTCAAACAACTGTTTCTGAAGAAAAACAGGATTCAGTTCCTGGAGACAGCAGGTTATGAAAGGGTTTAAGAACACCTACAACGATGAGCTTGTATTCAATGATTGGACTTCTTTGTCCCAGCCAATACTTAATAGTTCCTGGAATTACATAGGCAAAATCTTCAGCTACATTTAAAATTCTTTTCATCCCACTTCAGCCCCAGATACGAATCAAGCACCCTATTTGACTCCAATTGGTAAACCATCTTCCCTCTTTGAAGAACGTGATGACCTTCCATGAAAATATCTTGGTCAACATTAAGGTCTATGTTTATATCAGGGTCCTCTCGCCGTCCAGACCAAAGCTTTTTCTTTATTTCACGAGCAAGTAGTGTTTGATGTTTACCCGTTTCCATAGAACAAATTACATATTACTGATTCGTTCTAAATATCAGAATCGATTATGCCTACAAATTGCACATAAAGTCGGTAAAAGAAGTTCAGTTTCGCCAAGTTTCCAGAACGGGGGCTCGAGCGCGCCCGCGACCAACGAGTGAGAGCAGATGGCATGCGCAGTGAAAGATAGCTCATTCTCGTTCTCGTCTTCGCCCTCGGCCCCAAGGATAACGAAGGCTGTAATTGACGCAGGCCAAGTGCATATATGCTTTCGTTAGCACCTCCTCGTAATTCATGTAAGCGGATCAAAGTTGGCTTAAAAAAAAGATTCTTCAGCGCGAATTGATTATGAACTCATAGAATGACGCAAAGTGAGGGTAAGCAGATCTTTTATTGCAAACGGAAATCTCTATCCAAGCTCATTTGCGACTGGAGTGTGAAAATCGTAAAATTGCATCATTACGCTGAGCCGATCATATATGAATGCTGAAGAAAGAATTATTTAAACAATATAGACATTCGTTGTGAGGATGTTTTCTTCATGTCGTATACGTAGTAATTATTTCAACCACTAATCTTGTGCTTCGAAGGTTTATTGTGAAACATTAGTTGAAACTCATTCAAATCGTGCGACGCCATTGCGCATTTCACTGCGTTAATTATCCGTTTTAAAATCGTGTGTTAGCTTCAAAGATAGGTCTTGAAGCTTCATTATATTCTGTTGCATTAGGTCTGTCGTCTTCCTAATCAGATGAGCTTCAATTTGTGGTATAATTGTTCTATATTTACCCATGGTTAGGCTGTTTTTTATTAGGAACAATGTATGGAATAACAAAGCGCTATAGAAACAATGTAAACAAAGACAAATCTGCAAGTCGAGTAGGCTAGGTGATTGCTCGAGGATAGGTATATCAGGTGACTCTTAATCTCCTCAACACCGCAAAAAAACCCTTCAAACAATATCGTATCACCGCACGAAATGTTGACAAAATACTGAAACCGCAATTGGTTTTATACCCATCCTCCATGCATAATCTAAACACAAAACTAGCACATAACAAAGCCATACAACAGTCTTGAAAGTTCTGTAGATATTTATCTTTTAATTGTGATGAAACCTCGCTACACGTTTTATGTTTCATCGTCAAAATATTTATTTAGGTAGGTAGGTAAAATGTATTTATTCGGTATCAATTCATATTCACATGCTCTTCCATCCAGCCGTGTTTGTAAAAAAACAATAGGTTAATTACCATACCAATTATCGAATGATCTAGCTAAATTAATTATCTGTACTAGACTATACTATAAGCTATATAAAACTATTTCTTATCAACTATCATTGAATCAGACCGAGATTAAATAAATGATCCAGAAGAGGCTGGATTGTAGTTTGAAAGGGAAGGTGTGCCACAGAACTGCAATATTGAAAACGTTGTTTGCATGTCTAAGTGCTCAAAACAAAAACGATGAACTTTGAATTTGTCAGAACACTGGATGTAGCGTTAAAAATACTATTTCAAGAGACTTAAAAGATCGGAGAAAGATTAAGAGAGCCTTAAAAGAATAAATACAAGTTGCTTCAAACGCTTTCGTTCTAAAAAGCTCCTACCTGGGAGGTCAACCTTTAAGTCAGAGACAGTGATTAAACGTGCAGCCATAATTTTTCCGTTTTTGGAGTCTCTCAGACTGACACGCACCTATGCTGCTCCATATGGAGATTCAATTCATAAATGAAGTTCGGAAACCTTTTGTACACAACCTCTTTGAAATTTTATAGTAATAGGATATCTAAATTTAGTCCAGACAAACACGATAAGGGTCATCGATAAGAAACTACAATCACGCTTATAATTTCGTTTACTTTACATCGGAACGAATGCAAGGTTTGAGATCAATGCAGTACCCCAGAAGAGGATGTTATTCAGCGAAATACCTTCTTTTGGATTCTCTAACTATTTTATCAAGTCTTTTAGCTTATGGGGACGATATTGTTTAGTAATCGCTTGAAAAGCGGGGGTGGAATGTTGTCTTTGGTTCTGATTCCAATCGCGTGATCATGTGATTATAACAGTTGACTCAATTGCAGCCTACGTATTTCCATTACATTGAGTTGCTGTTCATACAGTTTTGTTCTAATTTCGCATGACCAATAAGTGTCAAAATTTCTTATGCAGCGTGAAACTGTTTTCAAATGCATGTATGTTTTTTAGGTTATTCCTTTGTTTCTTTGGATCCTCTTTACTCACTGACCGAGTCTGACATACATGATCGACAGCTCCCCGAGGGCATTGGAGCGAGATGGAAAGACCTGGCTCGGAAACTGGGATTCAAAGAACGTTCCATTGAAGTTATTGAGAGAGAAAATTGTTCTTACCACGACCGTTGTATCAAACTTTTGGTGCGATGGATGGAAAAGGGAGGTCAACATGGTGCCACTGCTGGGAAACTCGCTGAAGCTTTAAAGGCCATCGAACTTCAGTCATTGGCCGACAGATTAATTGGTATTCTTAAATTTTTTCGACTCTTGGCTATATTCTGGTGTTTCATTTGTTTTTTCCCTATGCACCTCTTCGAAATGTGCTTTATGGCGTTCTAAAAAACGTTAATCTATTCAGCAGGTGACCATTGGGTATTAACACAAACTGGCTATTGATCTCATACACTAAAGTTGCCGTGATAAATTTTCAAGTCAGTTTTTCTTTTGGAACTGTTCTTGGACTAGGCGTCAAATTCTTATATTGTTCACTAGATACCAGAGGTGCCCATGTTTAAAGCTTAAATTTGAGGACCTTCTAATTTTGATGCTGAATATTTAACGCTGCAGGTCCGAGTGATAGAAGAATGATAATGATGGAGATTCAAGGAACATTTCGCCTTGAAGATGGGGTATGTCTTCACCCATAAGAGAGTGTGAATTTACTGATCTTTTGTTAGTACAGATGTGCGTATGGCTCAGTAATTGCACCCATTTTTTTTTTTTAACAGACTGAGATCATCGTGGGGGTCGACAGCACCGAAAGGAGGACATTTTTCATATGGAAGAGTCCTGATAAAGAATTTAACACATCCGATAAGGTACTTTAAGAAACCAATTCTAGGTCTTAACAAATCGATCCTATGTTGCGGTGGGTCTGTTCAGTAAAATATCTCAGATGACGTAAAGATGTGGTAAGAACAAAAGAGTGGCTCACGAGGCTCAGCCGGGTGTGTTGTAATGTTCTTAAAACTCGGAGGGTGACGCTTTTGTGATGAATAGCACTTGCCAATCTAGCGAACCAGCCAACCAGCAGGTGCGAAAAGCACTATTCACTGGTTTGGTATGTATATTAACCCTTGAACTCCCAAGATCTCTTTAGTAATTCTTCTTACTGTCTGCCATATAATTCTTGTGATGTTAGTTTGAAGAATTTGGTATTGGATCAACTAGTAATCCCCTAATTAATATATTCCTTTATTCTCATCACTTGCCTGCTTGATATCGTATTGATATTGTAAGGAGAAATTCTGTCTTGGTCACTTTTGGGAGTTTAGGGGTTAAAAGTAATACATTCCTGACAGTGCCTATCAATCAGTCTCTGTTTATTTCGAAGTATTCGTTCCGCAGAATTGTTAGGTTACTGAATGATAATGGAAGAGGATCACTTCCTTTCATAACTTGTTCACTTAGTTGCTTCAACTCCCCAAACAGGAACTGAAGAGATATTTTGATGCTACCTGTCAAATCACTGCACAGACACCTGAAGTTATTGAGAAAATTATCGGAACATCAGTCAGAACATCAGTTGATGTCAAAAGCCGTAAAGATCCACCCAGCAATGAGCAGATCTCCTTTCAGACGCCTGAAGTTATGCAAGGAGACATCGCAAAACTAATTGAGGACAAAGATCGGAAAGAGATTTCTACCCAGACGCCTGACACTTTAGAGGAAACTAATGGGACATCAGCTGAGAGATGGCTGGAAGATTCACCCCTCAAAGTGCATATTTCGACTCAGACGAATGAAACTGAAGAAGTATTTAGAAAATCTGATGAAACGAAAGGGGAAGATTCACCCGCCAAAGAGCAGATTGGTGTTCAGACGCCTGAAGTTATGGAAGAAATCGTCGGAAGATCAACTGAAGACAAAGGCCAGAAAGAGATCTCGACCCAGGAGTCTGATACTGCAGAAAAATTTACCGAAACACCACGTGAGAAATGGAGGGAAGATTCACCCATCAAACAGCAGATTAGGACACAAAACCCTGTAGTTGGAGAAGAATACAGACCATCCGATGAAACGAACCTGGAAGATCCATCAGACAGAGTGCCGATTTCCACTCCAACGTCTGAAGGTGAAGTAAAAATTATCGGGACATCAGCCGAATTTCAAAGGGAAGGTTCATACCACAAGGAGATTTCCACTCAGACGTCTGAGGTGGAAAAAGGAATTATCGGAACACCAGTCGAAGATAAAAGCCTGGAAGATTCATTCATAGCAGTTCAAATTTACACCCAGACGGTTGAAGTTGTTGAAGAAATTATCAGAACACCAGCTGAAGAGATGGAACAGTTTTCCACTCAGGCGTCTGAAGGTGTAGAAGAAAACAGAAAAACAAGTGAAGAGAAAGAGGAAAATTCATCTTCCAAAGCGCCAAAGATTTCCGAGAAGCTGAAGGATCTGCAGGAGAAGCTGTCGGTTGTAGAAGAAAATCTCAAGATACCTGAGCTGAAAGGAGAAGCTTTCCATGTTACTAAGAAATTGGATTTGATCTCCAGACATAACACAACCATTCAGGAACTGTACACACAAGTGATGGGCATGATGAGGGAAGCGTGCAAGTGCGATGAGTTCTTAAGAGAGAAATTTTACGATTTTTCGCATTGTAGCTTGAGAGCCGTGCATAATAATCTGAACAAAAGTTTCGCGGATCTACAATCAGAACAAGGGAATATGACAGCAGCAGAGAAGAGAAAACTGGACTCGCTGATCCTATCCAGAAAGGGCAGAGAGAAGCAGATTATGTACCTGGACAAATTTTTAAAGCGACTGTTCTCTTCGGTAAGTAAACATCACCAATGTCATTTAGCAGTTTATGTAACCGGCAGTCTCGTACATTTTGTTTTTCCGGTGATGAAGCTCTTTTTTATCAGTTGAAAAAAGAGTTATTCAGAGGTAAAATACCTTTTAATACCTGTTCTAAATTGCCAACGCCCACTCAAACCTGTCGCTTTTGTTCCCAATTGCAGGCAGCTGAACTCAAGAAATCTCAATCATCACCATGTGGGAGAGGCAATCGGAAAATATCTGGTGATTCCAAGGTAATAAATCACTGTTTAATCCTTGACCGAAGTAACGTCGAATGTAACAACTTAAGTATAATTGCTCTAGTGATTATAGAGATGCGTGCGCTTTGGATTGCGTCATATCTGGCCATAATCATATCGCAAGGAAGTGATAAGTGCAATAGAAGGAAAACTCAGTCGCGAAGAGCGCAAAAGACGCCACTGAGTTTGGTTTTCAAAATATAAGATGTGGAGTTTTTGCTGATTGAATTGTATAAACCTGTTTAAACTGCCTGTTTATCTTGATATGAGTAATCAACACAATTGTAACAAAAAAGGCGCAATTATTTACAGATTAACAACAGAATTCGAAAGCACTCGAGCAATTACAATAAAACAATTTTTTGCTTCAGGCTCGGTAAACATTGTTGAATAATCCCCTCGACTTCGTCTCGGGGATTATAATCAACGAGCCTGAGGCGAATATATAATTGTTTAATACAAGAAATTGGCTTCATTTGGCACCACAACATGTTGGGATATTTGCCTGCGAACTCCATCTGTTTCAGGACAAAACAGTTTCCGAGAACTAACCCCGAGGTAAACTGTGCGCTTCCAGAAATTCGAGGGTATCTGCTCGGTTCCTACGAAATCGTCACCCCATTTCCCTTCCCAGTGAGGGATAGTGACAAGTATAAGTTCAAGAGACGCGAGTCAAGTTTTGTTTTTCTAATAAAGAGAAACAATCTCAGCTCTCTTTAACCCTTTACACCCTAACATCAGCATGTATATTCTCGATACTGTTCACGTTTACGTTTCCTGAGGTGCTTTCAAGGCGAATTTGTTGAAACAATCAAGAGCTAAGAAGTTGGTGATTATTTCCTTTATCCTCATGACCGTGATGTGTGATTGCACGGTGATATTGTAAGGAGAAATTAGATGTTAGTCTCTCTTAGGGGTGAAAGGATTAAAATATTTCAGGGCTCTCACCAAAGGATTCATGGTAAATAAAAACGCTATTGTTGCGTTTCTCATTATATTTCAAGAACCGATTAAGGAAGCGGAAAACCCAAAGCAGAGTCCTTTCTTCATAATCAAGGGCACCTGTTATGCGACGAGAGTAAAGGAGACCAATGCGGAGTTTGAAGTACCAGGCAGTGGATAGAGACGAAGGAATAGCCAGTTAAACTGTTAGTGGTCATTCGACTATTTCTAAATAATTCACTTTGAGGTTATTAAAATAATTTGACAGTAGTTTGGATTAGTGGGTAAACAATATATTCTTGGTAAGAAAATGTCTTAAGTTAGTTGAAATGCCAGCCCCGATTCTTAATCACTTTGTGAACTTTTTCTACGATTCAATTCACAACTTAGTGGTAGTCACTGATAATAAGACCTGGTTATTTGACATGTGCCAATTGCTCACAGTTCTACCTCAAAGTTTGAAACCGATTCAATGTGAAACATTTCGTCGAGATGGATAGATTTCAAATATTTTTAACAATTATAAGAGACAACGTATCCATCCCTGCGTCATCCCTCATCCACTTAACCCTAAGTCTAACAAGAAGTGATGGTCAACAATTTGATGAAGAGGAAACATCACGAAGTGTTCGCGTTGTAAATAGCTGTTCTTTCTCTTCTCTTCTTTAACTCTGAATTGTATTTATTTTAGGGTTAGGGTATGAATAGAGTTTTGGCCAAAATGTGGCATTTATCAAGATGATTTTAGTTTGGTCTTTTGATTGCGTGATAATTGCAAACAAAGCAATTTTTATACAAATATTTCGAAGCACGGTGGCTGAGCGATATATATACATATATAAATAACAAGACACTGTGGTGTATAAGGAAACATTCAATTTGTTTTCACTGTAGATGGCGTACACATCAAAAAACATCACCACTATTTATATAGCAATGGAAAGTAATTTATCATCGCTTGAAGTACGTTAATTGATGAGTTGGATCAGTGTCAACTGCGCACCTACCCCTCCCCTAACTTAACAACAGCCAACTGATGACGTGTCAGAGTTAGTGTTGGGTTAGGAGAGGGGTAGGTACAAAGTTGCTCATATATTGATATTGATCCGATGAGTTTATCACGTGTTAAGTTAGGTCATGTGATCAGACAATAAAAATTATAGAATGAGTTTACGTAGGGTTTTCGCTGTCGTATTTGAAAACTTCCCGTTATTAAGCCATTTGGCTTCGCTTTCTCCTTGATTAACCTCGACTTGAGCTTGCTTCTACCTGCTTTGCAGGCTGAGTCTTTCATTTACTCCAACCGTGCTTCTATTTTGGCAAGATGCCTGTTTGGATGGGTTTCCATTATCTAATTATTTCCAAAATGATATTGAACTCGAGGTAAAAGATTCAGTTGAAAATGCTGGGCTTAACCGACACTCTCTGACTCTCTTATGGATCAGACGCCTGAAATTGTAGAAGAAGACATCGGAGGATCAATCAAAGACAAAAGTAGAAAAGAAATTCCAACCTGAAGTTTGATACTTAGGAAAGAAATTATCAGAACATCACCTCAGAAATGACAGAGAACACATGACATCTGATGAAAGGAAAGTGGAAGATTCATCCGAAAAAGGGCCAATTTCCACTTCAACGTCTGAAAGAAAAGAAACCTGGATACCTTGGTATCATCCAAGGACAGCTGAGAGAAGAAAATTATGTACTTGAAGAAATTGTTGAAGCGGCTGTTCTCTTCGGTAGGTAAACATCACAACTGCCACTTGAAAGTGAAGAAATTTCAACATTAAGCGGTTTATGTAACTGGCAATCTCGTGCTCCTTGTTTTTCTGGCGATGCAGCTCTTTTTGCACTAATCTTAATGCTTTCACAGCAGCTTTTAATCAGCTTCGAGAGATCGAGGGTTTCAGCTCGGATCCTACGAAATCAGCTCCCCTCTTATATGGGTATTAACATTGATAAGAGACAACGTATCTGAATGAGGAGGTCATTTAGTTGTTTTCACCATTTAGACTTGATATCAAGCAAACTTTGCTTCGGATCTGACTTACTGACACAAATTTTCTTGATATTAGATAAACAGGAGATAGAAGAACCATTTGCAATACCCCCAATACATTTGTAATCCGAGGTATCAAAGTTAGTGGGTATCAAACTAGAAGTGATGGTCATAACACAAATATTTGACAACAGCACGAGGTGTTCGTCTTATGAGTAGATTTTTGGTTTTTATGTATCTCTTAAGGAAAAGATGAAGTTTTTTTTATCGAATCGTGTAATCTATCAAATAACTTTTCATTAATTAAGTCTTTTGTGCCTGTATTTGTTAAATATATGAGCCCTTTCAGTTACTCGGAATTACCTCTGCCATATAATTTCAGTTTGCATGGTCTGTTGTGCCAATAATTATTAGATATAGATGAGCCCTTATTCTAACTTAAACCATTAAATTGTCTGTAACAATGCTTCTTTTTCATCCTTTTAAGAACATTCTCAGAGGGGGTTGAAATAGTGAGTGAGTGAGTGAGTGAGTGCGAAATACCACGAATTCAGGGCCCTTGGAATGTCAAAGGGCCTACCTATGTGCAATTCTTTCAGAGAATTACCTACATTACGATCTCTAATTATTAAAATCTGTGAGATGTGACTTTTGGCCCTAGCAGGGTAAATGTTTTAGCTCAGTATGAAGTGATCCTGGCGGTTTAGCGTTTGTCAGACCGCAGTAAAGCAATTGTTTTGCTAGTATTCGTATCAAGAAAAGCGGATCAGCTGAAAGTTGAGCAGGCTTTGTTTAACGATTACAATGACCGTATATGGCTACCTTGGAACAATGGCGGAAACAGCTTTAAAATACACGCGGGATTTTTCAAAATTTCCGATTATCATACGAGCGGCAGATGATACTGATGATACGACAAATCCTCCCCGTGGGGGTGATTCTGGTAGATTTTTTAGGATGCAAATAGTCACGGTGGGGTAATTGGTGGGGCGACTGTAGCTTTCGTATCTGAAGTAAAGAAATGTCACCGTTTTTTCCTTTACATTGCTTAAAACTGGCGAAAGATATTTTCAATTAGAGGCTCACTGTGCGATACAAAGGTGATGAGAGCATGTGTAACCTGGTATTAACGACCGAAGCCTACCACGCCGTTTAATCATGTAGGAGACTATCGTCATTTGCTCGATTGTTTAATGTGCGGGTATTTAAATTTCGCGCTGCGTGAATGAGATTTTGTTCCTGACGTGCACAAAAAGGTTCATATTCTCCTTCCTCTAGCGTGTGATTTAAACCTGGTAATAACGTCCGAAGCCTCGCGCGTCGTTAATTCATGTAGTTTTACGGGTATCTTTCTCTTTCCGTATTTCAATTCAACGAAAGGAGTTAAAAAAAACAATGGCGAGTGGAAATAGTCGCATACGCTCGTCAATTTCTCCCATTCGACTCGACTATTCATTCCGAGTATATTTAAATTTCGCGCTTCGTAAGCAAGAAAAACAGAATAATCTCCTCCCACAATTTTTTTGTGTTAACACAAACCGACTTCTAATTGATACCTATTCATCCTTTTGTGTGATAGCAGGAGGTGAGATTTTTTTCGCATAGTCATGTTCTGCTAGTTTCTTCCTTTTTTTTTTGCTCAACAGGTTACGTGTATTCAATCACATCACTGACGCTGTCAGATTCATCTACCAAATTTTAGGGCAATCGAATTTCGCGCTACGAAAGTTATCCTATTTTCTTAGTTTGCATAAAGCGCTGCGCAATCGCCTCCCATAATTTGCTTACCTTAGCGTAAATGCATAAGCCCAGCAAAAACTTAACACGCGAAAAAAATCACACCCCTTGATTCGTTAAATGCCTCCTCGGTTGATTGAGAACAAACATAAAGTCCTAACGTCCGCTTTCTACAAAGGGAATATCATAACAATTTTAGGTAGGTTTGGTCTTGGTTTAGATGAAGATATTGAAAGATAAAGGTATTGAAAGCACAGAGACGGAGCATGCAATACATGATTAAAAAGCCAAAGATAACATACATGACAATAAACACGATTACCATGTAAATGTATATTGAAATGGAAAATACGACGTAATAAACTGCTACAATTAATGAAAGCTATAGTTAATAAAAGATGCGTGTGACACAGCTACTTAAGCCATTTTGTACCTTTTTCAACTCGGCCGAAGTGACACTAAACTGTACCATAATGTTTTAAACATAGGAAATAAATTGTTCAATCAGTAAGGACCAAAATCCTGAGTAATACTGCGCTGAAAGTCAGTTGCTAATTTTTTGGTGCCGAAAAGGGTGTGGATCATAAATGCTAAAATTAGGTCATTAATAATGGAATGCCCTCAGGCGGTAGTCCGTTCGATTGGGCAATAGCTTTCGTCTAGAAATCGTCATATTTTATTCAAATTTATTGAAAGACAATGACACTCCGTATTTGAACGAAATATAGACACTTCTGGCTAAGTTCTCTGTAAAAATTGACCAGATTATTAGAAAATCTACAACTAATTGTCTGGTAAGATTTTTCAAAAGGTACACGCCATTTCCTCAACTTTGCTAACTGTAAAACTACAAGAAAGTGTCATCGAATGAGACTGAGAAGATTGTGTGGCAGGAGCTGAAAAAGTCAGGTGAGAATTGAAGAGGCGCATGCAAAGAGTGACTCGCGTAAGAAAAAGTGCAGTAATTGCGTGATTCTTTATTCGCGCGCCCTGAGTCAAATTATTTCCGCTTTCTTACACACGACAAAGGCTGAGATGTCACAATTCGCTAAAAACAGGATGTCAGCGAAGTAATTTCGCTTTAAGGTTACCAGGCTTATTCTTTTCTTAAATGAATTTTGCTATACAAAGGCCACTTCCATAGTAATTTTCAAGTTAGAGCTAAGAAATTTAACCAATATTTTTGATCAAAACTACAGCAAACGAAAAATTTTCACCTCCTGGGATTCTAGGTAGAAAAAATGCGGCAATGTTAAAAGTGGGTAATTTAGTGTTATCAACTAAGTTGATAACGTAAACTGGCCATCGTAAAGCGCCGGGCTACAAATACATCTACAACTTGCCTTTCCTCTGCGAGGAATCCTATAAAGTCAGACTGATTAAACTGGCCCTTTTTTCATCCGCACCGTGAGAATATGGAACGCTCTAGCTGATGACATTGGTCTTTCCGTAACTATCTCCTTCAGTTCATTCAAGGCACACCTAATCAGTTACTATAAGCAATCACTCTGTAAATCATATAACCCTGAAGATCCTCGCTCATTTAAGTCTATCTGCATAAGTTGCAACAAAGCCCGTAATCTGACAAGAAATTTTGATTGTTGCTACTAACTGCTCATTAATTTTATTGCAATTTTTATTTCAATTTTATGTGTTCCGGGCCCGCAGTAATTGGCGTATAAGCTGTTGCGGAGTCCCAGCCTGTTTGTACCATTTACATTTTTTGTTTTGTTTATGTATATTTGATATTAAGTTGGCGAAGCTAATAAAATAAAAATAAAGAGTTTAAAACCTTAAAACTCTTTACGGTGACCAATTCACGTTATCAACTCAGTAGATAATACTAAATTACCCTGTTATACTCTCCCACCGACGCAGCACCACAGTTTCTTGAGAAACTTACCCCCCTTCATTCAATGGTCAAACTGGTTTACGGCGCTTCCTATTGTCTTGTTATGTCGTGTTACCAACCATCGGCGTGGAGGCTCTGAAAGTGTATTGTCACATGACCATCCACATAATCTAAGATTTAAGGTCACTCAAGGAGAAATGAAAACAGCTTTGAATAAATTTCAGTCTGCCGTATAACGACGCGTCAATTAATTGTTCTCCATTTAAGTGCCGTCAATCACTTTATTTAATCATAGGTGTCCTAAGCTCACGTCTCGAGACACTTTCATATAGTAATCGTTTGCTTTTTCTCGAGACGCCTGTGATTAAATACAAAATGAATTTCGCATCAAAAGGGAAGGCACCTTCAACTTCATTTGAATCAGTCGATGACTTTCAGTACGGGATACTGCTTTAAATTCTCGTCAAAAACAGAATGAAAACAACGACGCTTTTCATTCAGTCATTGAATATTGATCAAGTCAGGTTTTTTACCGACCGAACTGGCTATATTCTTCATAATAAGAACAGTCAGTAGAAATTTCTCAGTTAAGCGGAGGATGACTCTTTTAAGTATTCTCCTAAGAGTCTAGGGAGCGCTGTCAAGTTGCATTTTGATGGATAATCACTTCAAATGTAAGTCCAATTCGACCCCCTGTCTCCGGCGTTTCGATCGAAATTGCTCATCAGTCTAATTATAACATTAGACCCTCGTATCTGTTTTCTGTTTCGGTTTGAAATGCTTTTTAATCTGGTTTTACAATCGTATAAAACTCCGCGTAAAACCAGTGTCTAAGGTGCATACGAAATAAACCTAAACATAAACACGAGATAAACGAGCAACACCGAATGAATGTGCTTATAACATTGTTATTTCCAATGAATAGCTTGACTCAGACGAAAACTTTGCAGACGTGCAATAGATCGTCGGAAGCCCGAGGATCTAAGCTTTTGGTAATAAATTGTCTGTTCATATACTCAAAGCTCCAATTTTTTAAAATAATGAGTCGCCGTGCTGCCGATGTGGACGGTGAATGTTCACTGCCTTATCTGATAGTGAATGCTGGATGGCACGCGGCCTTCCCAGATATGTTATAGTTTTCAAACGCTTGATATTCAATCTTGTCCTCAAATTCTCGCATCGCGTTTATATTTCGAAGTGGTCGTGAAAAGAGAAAGACGAAAGAATAAGAAAAGATAGAAGCGGTAAAATAAGGATTCTAAAGTAAACGCACGACTTCCTGTGGATTTCGAAAAGTATTAATTGTCGATATTAGATTAACGATATGGTCACATGACTATTTAATGCTATTTTTGTCAAGCCTTTGCTGAGAACTAAGATAATCGATGGCGAACCAGTCATAAATATGTATTATGAGAGATTCTCTACTGTGATTATATTATTTTCAGTTTCTTTGTAGTCACCCTTTTATTTGTTCCCATAAAAACACAAGAGCCTGCCTCGGTCACATCAGGCTAATTTATATTTATTATATTTTCAGTATTTGCCATTTTTGAGCTGAGGGAGGCTTTTGTTCATTTTCTTATATATCGATGATTCCTTATTGCGTAAATACAACACAACATCAATGAGGCATTTAAAAGCATCTTGCAAAAATGTCAATAATCTGTACGACTGTCATGTGATCATTCACTTATGTATGCCAAAGCACTTGGCCTGTTTTTTTTATTTCTCAGGTAAGGGAAAATTTGGCTTGTTTTTAGCGGCATGGCTTCCATGTAGGCTGCATTCTTTATTTCTGCCAAACACGAGCGAAACATGTCTCCAACAGTCGGATCGATATCTAGAATTGAGTTTATTGCACAAGACGAGATTTGACTTATGCGACGAAAAGGATTGAACTTTCTAGACCACGATAGAAGGTTTACTTCTGTAAAAATATTCAAGTTAAAGTGGCGAAAGCACCGTTCGGTGCAATTGCAGTCTCCGTCCACCTTGTTAAAACGATGCTTGACTGTTGCAACCCTTCCACATCTTCTCCTTTACTCTGAGAAAAAATATGGCTTAGTCACTCTTTCCTGACGTTTTGCAACTACGACTTCCTGTTAGCCCCTGAAGGCATTTTAGGGTCGAATATGACCAAAAACACGGCTATTCAGTGTTATTTTGGTATTCAAATTATTTGGTCATTACTACTTTTTAACTTCCTACCTGAAAAGAGAGTGCTGTATTCCGAATCCGTTCATGTCTGATACTTCGCAATTCGCACTCAGTTTGAAAAAACTGTTAAGATTGAGTGAACATAAATGTCATTAGCAAGTCAATTTCTTCAGTTGTGATGGTCAAGTGATCATTCAGTGTATATTCAATGCAAAATCACCCCGTCGCTTTCAGTTTCATGACTCATCGAGTCGCTAAGGACGCTGTACGCTTTTACGACTACTCTGTAACTGCCAGTGGTGTACATTTCTCAGGTGAGAGAAAAAATTGACTTGTTTTTGTGGCTAGATTGTTATGTAGAACGCATCTTGCATCTCCGCTTACAGTTAAACACTCATGTTACAAAGACAAACTGTCAGAATGAAACAGGGATATCGTACTCGACAATTTGCTTTCGGAAATCTGAGACATAACATTCATAGGCGTAGAATGAAACAGAATGGAAACTTTACGAGCCGTACGAAAATCCGTGAAGAACCAAAATAAGATCAAATAAGTGAAATTTGAGAACCCTCGTACATAGCGGCAGCATTAGTGACACATAGCGGCAGCATTAACTAAATATGAAAATAGCACCATAGCAACGTCGCAGCGGAAAAATCTTGATCGAGTTTTACTTCTGAAATAGAGCTAAAATAAAGGGGGAAACTTAGTAATTCCTTTTCACTGGCAATAACAAAACATCTTAGCGAGGTTCAGAACAAGTGAATTTGTGTCACTGTCAATTTGATTAAATTTTGTGTCTTCCTGTCGGGTGTTACTAACTATGAATCAGTAGACCGCGGAACCTCCGCAACCTGCGGAATCCTATTTTTTTTTCATAGAAAATTAATGAAATAAAATAGAACTAAGAAGACCTCAACACTGTTTGAAGGTTAGTTTTCGGTCTAAAGAAGATGACTTTAAAGGAGATATATGTTTTAATTGTCTTTGACGTCCAACATTAACCCTACAAGCGTATGTAATGTCATAAGGATCAATCAGCATTAACCAATCCTTGTCTGTTAATGATGGAACCATAATTTTGAAAGTTCAAACGGTTTGCGATATCCGAATAACGCTTCATCAGAAGGCTAGAATTGGTGGTCTTTAATTCCATTTTATTGTAAAATGACCCTGGAATGAGGAACACGAGTGTAAAGTAACATCGTCGCATATGATGCATCGTTACTGCTTAACTTGTTGTCATATTGTTTTCTGTGTGGATTTCGTTTACGCATAAATTACCTGCGAGTGTTTTTACGTTTCATCTGTTGTATCGCGAAGAATTTCTGGGTAGCCGGAGCGAATATGCAGAGTTTTGCTCCTAGTGGATTCGTTTGATTGGCTTTTCTCACAGGCGTATCTTGGAAATAATCACCTGGAGGAAAAGCAGATGAACTAAAACCGAGCTGTTTCACACTTGTTCCTTCTTTACAAGCTACTCATTCATCAAAAAAATGGTGGTCAAACCATTTTGTTAGCTCATAGTTGATAGTTGATCTGTTGCCAGTTTAGAGTTGGCTGAAATCAGCGATTAGATATAGTGAATGGGGAAACGAGAAAGATCAAAGTGACGCTATGATTAACTCGCTCGTGGATAAACTGTGCAGATGAGAATTTAGAATAAACAGTGACTTAAAACCAGTGACCCTGTGATTCCAATGAACAGAATTGGGCTTCTGGAAACTAAAAAGACTTTGGGTAGCTGGTGGATTAGTATTCAAGATGAAGAAACTAAAGAATTGATGTTCCCACAGCTATATTAATTTTGCTATATTGTTTATACTTCTGCTGTAAAGAAAGCATTATTTTATGGCAATTATGATAGCAATGTAAAGATTTTGCATCACTGGTTCCTACTTTCTGCACATCCACGGATAAAAACGGAAGAGATTTCATTGTTGGCGGGACAAAACAGCGAAAACAGCTAGGCTGTCATCTGTTGAGAACGACAAATTCATAAAATCTTTAAAGGGAGATATACCTTTAGAAGTAGGACCAAATAGAGAGTTGTATCTAGTATTATTAGTTGGACTAAGTGCATTTCACTATTCTAATTTATGAAAAAAAAAAAAAAAAAAAAAAAAAAAAAAAAAAAAAAGAAATGAAGAGTTTGCACGTCATCTTGTCCAATACTTCTTATTTAGGTATGGAAGTATTCCAAAAAAATGTCTATCTACTTAGCAAAGAGGAATCAAAGACATTGACCCTATCAGAAATTGCAGAATTGAGGAAAGGAAAACAGTACCAAAGTCGCGTGAAATTTTTCCAAGACATGAAAGATGATGATGTGAGAAACTTGCTTGAAAACAAGTTCTCCCCTATCTTGTCAAATAAAAGGTAAATGCAGACTGTGTGGTAAGTACTTCATAACGTACTATGGTAATGATACTCATTAGTAAACCAGCGCAGAACGATTCACATGACTTTGATTTATAAAGAAATTTGAAGAATCACTTTTGCGTGTATGCAAACCAAACCTCTTTAACTTTTTTTTTCTTATTATTATTTAGGTTTTCGTGTGCAACACGAGACGGACAGACTAGCGCTCGATTAAATTTTCATGGTGAACACCGTGTTTGGGATGGACGAACGATTAAAAGAAAAGTACAAGGCGGGTCGGCCTTGTATTTAGTCCTGGAGGACGAGGTACACAAGATATATAAAACAATCATAACACCGTTCAGTTTTGAAGCTTATTATACCCTCGATACTTCTGGATTTAGTATCTTTTCGTTTTCGTTACTTTCTGGTATGCCCCTCTGCGCTAAGCCATTCGTAAAATGTAGGAACATATATGATTTTCTTAATCAAGACTGAAAAGTTGTCTCCAGATAGTGAATGATAAAGAATAAATTTTCAACGGAAACATTGGTGATTGGTGTGACAAAATTGTTCGCAAAGACCAATGGTAACATGTCATTTTTTCAACTACTGGCAATTTCCAAAACTCTATGAAAAGTTAGATTACATTCCTGAATGCTCATAAAGATGCATTTATTAACGCCAAAATTGAATGGTTTCGAATAAAAAATGAAATAATTTTTTCAACAATATTTCCATATTTCAAAATCAGCCGGTCTTCAACTCGGTGTCACCTGCAAGAGGAACTCCTTCATCTTTACAAGGTACACAAGGACGACTTTTTCTTCAATTTTTGTCTTCTCTGGTTGTTACCAAACTCTTTCTTTCAAACCTGAAACTTGCATGTAAAGCATAAATTCATTTTCATATCAGGTCATTTGTCGTCCACCAGCTTCTACCACAACTCTAAAAATGGCCAGACTGTAAGTGATCTTTTAAATGATAACGCACGCAGTGAACCTACCATTTATTTTCCCACATGTGTTCAACAATGAATTTTCCTTGTAAATAAGCAAAATTACAGTATCCCTATTTAGGGCAGAGACGCCATTTATACGGTCCCACTGGTGCTTTTTACTGGTGTTTTGGAATCAGAACTTGAATCACAAGATTCATAACTCCACTAAGCTGCAGGGGTTTAAGTCATTACTTTGATTAAAGAAATTTCTGTTTATTTAAGGTGTCATGGACACAAACACCTCAATCCGCTACAACAGTTACATCTTTGAAAACAACTAACTCAACAGGCAAGTTGATTTTTTAACTTGTATTTTCTCTTACATCATGATAGGTATGGGTCCATTGATTTTCTTCTCATTCGATACAAATATTTAAAGTGAAAAATTACAAAACATATGATCATGTTTTGTAAATTTCTTCGCCACACGTGTCATAAGATAACGGAATAATGGATTGAAAATTGGTTGATCGGCGTATGTAAGAATCTAATTGACTAAATTTCCTTCAGTTAGGAAAGAAGCGATTTGAATAACATCTGAATGTCATATAGGTCAAGGTGCAAGCAAAATCACTGATTAAGTTTTATTTTCAACCATCCTGATGTGTTAAGGCATTTGCAAAGTACCGAAGTCCGGAGCAGGAGCTTGAAAGCTCCCTGTTTTACCAACTTTAAATGATCGTCTTAACTGTATTGCGTTGATTTTGAGAATTATTGTGCTAGTCATGGTATTTAGGATAATTTAGTTGCGAAGACAAGCATTTCTCTTATCCTGAGGTAAGATTATATGAAAGTAAAAAACGATTATAACATAGCTAGTAACTTTGTCTAATCAAATTCAATTGCGCGAGCATGCTTCATATTCCTATTGTGCACGCTCATGATGTCAGCAAACAAATCCCTCGAGAAAAAAAAATTTTCCTTCGGGTTGAAAATGCTATAAAACAATTGGTTCATACGTCATTTGTGCGTTCATCGAGATATGAAGCACTTGGGAAGTTTGGAGAGCACTCAAGTAGCTATGCATCTTTCGTGCTCTCCAAACTTCCCGCGTGCTTCACATCTCGATGAACGCACGCTAACATATGAACCAATTGTTAAATGTTCACTAATTGTTTAACTCTCAAATGAATTAAGCTTCTTGTGGCCGAATTGTAGAGAGATGGTTGACATTTTCCTGTCAATTAATTACTTTAAAATGAATCGTCAAAATTAGTCAGATAATATTTTTTAAGTTTGCTTCTCCTTTTGTTGTAATTGTGTTAACTCTTTGAAACTTGATAATTCTTTAGAAAACGCTGTGGAAACGACGCAATGGGAACGCGATATGAATACAAATAATCCTGGGTGGCTTGTAAGTGAATTCTGTTATCATGTTCAAGTTTGTTTTTATACTAGGAATTTCATTCAATGAGAGAAAGAATATAATGGAAAATAGTGAAAGATAATCTATCAGAGATAATCATCCAGCACTCCCGTTACTCTCTCCTAACCCAGTTCAAATATAATGCAGCAGTCCTTCTTCAGGAGACACCTTCACTGCATACTACTCTTGGTTGGAAAAGGGGGGTCCTGAGTAAATTTTAGCGGATATTTTTTAATTAAAAAAAAAATTCTGAATTGAGTAAAAGTAGACCACTGCTCATTCTATTCGTAAGCTAGACCACAGAATCGAGAACGATTTCAACAGAGTAAAAACCAGTGGTCGATCTTGAATCAGAAATAGACAGCAATTAACCTGGCTCCAGGTTTTTGTTACAAAAATTACCATGTTACTTCAATCAAAATTTTTCAAATATTTGCAGAAATCGCGATAATGACTATCAACGCCCAAGTCTGACTTTTCTTTTCAGTGGTTAGTGTAGCATAATTTAAGGAAACGCCATTCTTGTTTTTTAATGCCGTTGATTCAAGCACTTAATTCTATTATTTTTTTCTCTGTTTAATATGTAGGGTGATAACCTGAACGCTCCCAACTCGCCAGGTAATTCTGCTTTTCATATGTCATGTTATAACTCTTCGGCTTGGTGCGATGTTGGTTAGTTCAGATTTTCTGTTAGAAATTTTAGTCGCCGGAGAGTAGAGTGAAGTAGTGAAAGGACATTATCCACGTCGTGGAAACAAGAAACTCGAGCTATCGAAATTTAGCCGAAGAATTTAAGAGCATCCTTTAGTCTACCAAAATTAGACTATTGACACAGCAATCATAAACGTACGGCATTTCAATTCATTTCAAGACATCCATTTGGAGAGTCTCGAGGCCGCTTTAACAGTTGAAACGAAATCAGGGACCTCAATGTTGACCAATAGAAATCAAGAACAGAATGAGGTAACATTTTCAATTAAATAAGGCATTCTTTTAACATACTATTTGGTGTAATGGTGTGATTCAATGGAATGATGTGAATGCGAAAAGATATGTGCATTATCTAGATTAATTGAGATAAATACAATCTAGATAGGCTAATGTGCATAATTACTTTCTTAATTGGGACAAAACCTCACTCATATCTTTCAAAACTGTCCTATGCACTCTTTGAATCGACTTCATTGTAAATAAAATGAACATCCAGCATCTCTGGCACAAATGAGGCACCTTTTAAATCGATTGTTCTTTTTCTTTTTTACCAATTACAAAATCAGATTCCCTCAACCGCCACTAATGCCCTTCAAAGCGATGACAGTGCTTTAAGTTCCTCAGGAGGTAGGCCAGGAGAGCTTGTTTATCCACTTTTTAACATAAATTGAAAGTGTGACATACACGTCAAAACTCCTTTGGTTTGCATAGATTTATTTTAGTTGGTAATTTTAATATTTAAAATCTACTTTGGGTGATTTTGGATTGATATCTTAGACATTTCAACAAACCGAGTGACTTGATAATGATTTCGATTATTTGATATAGAAACCGTTTCTCAGAATGGAATATTCAGTGCCCAAGAAACAACGCAAGAGGATCGAGTGACAAAGCCAATCAGGGTACATTAACCTCTATTATTTGTATCAGTGCACCTTGAGAGGCAATCAGAAAACTTGTAAATTCTTTTGTTAAATACCTGTTATTTGTTTGACTGGACCCTTTTATGGTTGAACTTTGGTCGATCAACTAGGTTTTGTTTTTAGGGTATGTATCGTCTGTAACAGTCAAGGTTAGAGCTCAGCCAACTTATTTAGTATATGCTTGTTATTTTCCGATTTCGAACATTTGGTTTTGAATTGATTTTAAGATCTCCGACGTTTATGGTGTATGTCGACACAGTTGGATATTAATTTCTTAAAGTAAATATGTATGTGTTTTTCTCCAATGTACTGTAGTTGATGGAGGAAGATTGTTTGATAAGCGACAAAAGTGATTCTTCCGGAAAATCTGACAGCGGTATCCCGTCTGAAGGTGAGGTTGGCCGAGAAAATAGTATCTAAGATGAGACTGGGTAAGCCTGATTTTTGTAACAAAGTTACGGGAAAAAATGAGACAAAAAACTTAAAGAAGCTAGCTGTATAAACTTTTCCCTAAAACGCTAAGCTGAAACAGGACATCGAAATCCGAAGAAGTAGACTCTCTTTATCGACAGCTAATTTAAAGAAAAAAAAAAACTCATGAAAAGGCATTGGTTTGGAAAACACTTATCGTGTGGTTCAGTGTTAGCCACAAATTTAATTATCACTGGTATTACTCTAATTATGGAGGTGTAAATTACACGATGTAGATCTGGATTGACGTAGGCCAGTAAATAGCGTGCTCGAATACGGGTGAAGAGGTCTGGATTCGAGCGATGGCCTGGGCATTCAGTTGTACTCCTGGGGAAAACTTTCTTTTCTTTATATCTCCGCCGAGGTGGATAAATGGCAACCATACAAATATGATCACTAGGTAAAGTGAACAACATCCTATCTCGTACCCAATCATGTTATAAAGCTGCATTTCGAAATAGTAAAACACATAACAACTATATTTGTTATGTTCTTACTAATATGTAACGAGATGATGTGATTTTATTTTTACTTTCTTTGTGTCTGGAACTTCGTCTTAGATTTAAATTGCTCAATTTTGCTCTATTGTTCATACAGCGAGCGCATGTCCTGCCCAAGCTCTCAACCGACCCATATCTCTACGAATACAAGATGCGAGAATGAAACCCGCAGAGGGGCCTTTGCAGGTAGATTCGTGTTTTGCTCTTCTGGTTTGTTAATCAAAGTTACAGGAGCGAAAACTAGAGGTATTATTGAATAATATACCATTTGGGAAGGAGTTTATCTTTGTTTTCATGGTAATGATATGCTTGCAAAGATTTAGCATTCTCGTTGGTTGAGAACACGTCAATTTATCTCAAGCAGTACAGAAAGTTGAAATTAAGTGCAGAAAGATGAAATTATATTGATTGACAGGAGAGTCGTGAAAGCGCAAAAAAACAAAATGGCGGACAAGTTAGGATAAAGTAACAACGTTTTAATCTATTAAAAAAAAAAACACCCAAGAAAGCACAAGAAACTAAATAAAAGTTGGGAAGTTTTGGGCTTTAAAAAACGGCTATGACAAAAGCGTTAAAGTAGGACCGGAGGCCCTGAACAAAATTCACTCGGAATTTATGCAACAGTTTGTATACGAAAAACGGGGATTAAATCGCAAGCGTGATAGCCTTCGTGCACTGGTTACTGCTATTAAGCGAATTCTTAGTGAGAAAGAGCGCAAACACTTATTTATTTGCTAAAGAAAGTTAAAAATCTCGTGGCAAATTCTTGCGGGAAAACCCTGACAACTCCGGCAACAAGAATGATCACATTTCCGTAATTTAATGAGCAAACAAACACACCAACATGATATTAGTGAACTCCAGCTAACAAACAAACATGCAAAAGGCATGAATTTCAGGTATTTTTCCCCTTCCTTTTCATTTAGGGCGGAGGATTATTTCGTGCAGTTATAGATGAAGAACTCCCTCGCTCAATGGAAACAGGTTGGGCAACATTTGGCGATAAGTCCGTGAAAGTATGGGTATCGAGAGATGGTCTTTCTCTGTTTGGAGAGGAAATTCCTCGTAAGTGTCCGCTGTTTTTCTTTGATTTTGCTAAAAAGTGATCTTGCACTGCTCTCAGCCTTCATTTTACTCAGTGGTGGTGCCAGAGGGTTTAATTCCTCGCCGACGTATGCAATATTTGTTATCTTTCTTCTTAACCTTCTTTCCCTACCATATCTGGTAGAGTTTCTTCAGCTTATATGTTCAGGTGTATGGAAACACTTGCTGCAAAACAAATCGTCAAAAGTCTATGTTACATTGTATGAATAATTTTTATTAAATAGGTGGTGACGTGCCAGGACCTGTTACCGTGACATTCAGTAGTCTGAACGGTGAGTGTGTGGCAAAGGCGACCTACACTTACCAGGAGCGTAAAAATTCAACAACCCTACAGATTAAACGAGCTCTTGATGAGATTGAGGAGTGTGTAAAGCGTCTCAGGAGCGAGCCTGACTTATGTGACGAAAGTGAAGAATTGGCCAAGGATAATTTCCATGAGTCAGGTAAAATTTTTTACACTGTTTGAACGAATAACCGTCTCAAAAATTTTATTGCAGGGAATAATTAGATAGAGAGGTTCGTAGACTCAGATAAACTTGGGATGGTCAGGATAACGCTCAAGCTTTTTTCCCTAATTATTTTTATATTTACGGAAGTGCTTGGAAATCATCACTGGGTTAATTTATTTATAGGGGGGCTCCTTCCGCGATCCTCTGAATCTTTGTATCAATAATTTGTATTAAATAGGTGGTGACGCGCCAGGACCTGTTACTGTTACATTCGCTACACTGAACGGTGAGTGTGTGGCAAAGACGACTTCCACTTACAAAAAGTGTGAAAATCCAATGACCTGGCAGATTACTCACTTTAAACGAGCTCTTGATGGGGTTGAGGAGTGTGTAAAGCGTCTCAGGAGTGTGGCTGACTCATGTTATGAAAGCAACAAATTTGCAGAGGAAAATCGCCATGATTCAGGTAAAATTTTCACCTTGTTTGAAACAGTTGCCGTCTCAAAAATTTTATTTCAAGGGATAATTAGATAGAGAGGTTCGTAGACTCAAATAAACTTGGGATGGTTAGGATAACACTCAAGCTTTTTTTCCTTATTATTTCTTATTTACGGATGTGCTTGGTAATCATGTCTGGGTTAATTTCTTTACAGGGGGCTCCTTTCGCGATGCTCTGAATCGGCAAAATGATGTGTTAGCAGTCTGAGAAAAACAATTATTATCAAGCCGATTTATTTTTATGTGGAAGGGAATATTTTTGTAACTGAAGTTATGCTTTCTCTTTCCTGTGTCTCTTTTTATGACTTAAATTAATAACTAATCAACGAATGATTGAGATGATAGTAAAAACTTCAATTAACTCGACATCACCCACCAGCCCTCTTTTATCGGGCATTTTGAACTGAGAGATATTCATATAAAGTCAATCGCCATTGAAAGTACCTTCTCAGAAGGCAATTAACATTTTGAAGTAAAGGGTCATTATTTTCACTATCGTGTACTGAATTTACGAGAATGCTGTAGTAGTTAGTAGATACATGTGGATTATTTCAACTTTTGTCATTGCTGGGAGCTATAAAGATTGCAATATAACTGGAGAACTGTATACTTTAGTTCTGTGATACGAAATCTTGTTCGTGACTGAATTGTACCATGATGCACTGATTCTTTGTTTAACATGAATGTTTTTGACGACCGTGTCTTTTCTCAGGGGTAACACAAGTGGCGAAAGCCCAATTAGGTGAGGAGGGTTATTTTGGAGATACAGAAAAATCTGACACAGAGAGTGAAGATTCTTATCGTATGGATAATAACAAAAACGAAATAGAGGAAGGTAAGTTTCTGCCTATATGCATGCTGGTGCTCTGAGATAACTAAGGTCGCAAATTTAGAATTAAGGTAGAAGATGATCCAATTAATTGCGGCTAAGTTTTCCGGAATGCACTGAGGGGAAAACTTATGGCTTAGGATGTAATCCACAGGCAACAAAATTGGCGGGTCTTTTTCCATCATTAATTTTCAATGTGCAAGGCTAGTTGTTTTTTTTTTTAGCTTTCTACGTGACTTGTTGCCCAATAAGTCTTAACATTCCTGCTGCTTCCAGCTCGCTGTTAAGATAATAGCGTATAGCTTCCATATTAATTTCTTTAATGACAATCGTAGCTCAATAGGCTGATCCAGCAGTATCATCATTATTCAAGCCTGCCCGAGAATAAACAGAGGAGGAATTTTATCTATTCCAAGGTTGCTCTGGGATAAGAATGCTAAATGCTAATGCTAACGCTTCTCTTACGTCATAATGATGTTTGGGGTTTTATTTGCCCGTTTGGATGACCACCAAATTAATTATGAGATACCTCATAACCTCATATCTTTTGGGTCAACAAAAGTGATCGGGGGCTCGGCTCGTCGGCCAACACGTCCGCGCACAAATTTATTTCCTATTCTATTTATTTCTCCAAATCAGTAAAACTAGCCAATCGGATGTCTATAAGGATTCGGTCTTAGTCTACCAAGATGACGGAAACAAAATCTTCTTGTGCCCAGGAAACTTTATCGGTCAATAATGCATGGTTAAATTACTGACGTATGAGCAGCAGCTTGTCGATCATCGAGAACATCTTTGTGTCTGTCTATCATTATTGCTTCTCTACTTTTTCACCATAACATTTTTCCGCGTAATGGGTCTTCGCATACACTCTATGTAACTCTAAGTTATTGTACCTTCTTCGTATGACATTATGCACGAACATCGATGATACAAGAATAAACTACTGGCGCATTAGCAGTAGACCGTTGAACATCACGAACATCTTTGTGTCTGATTATCATTTACGCAAGGAAAATTTTATCACTTCTGTACTTTTTCTCCGCAACTAATTTACTGAGTGGAACCTACGTAGCTGAACAACTTCCGGGTATGTAATGTCACTTCGTATTCGTCAAAGCGTTGGTTGACACGCGATTAAGGATGAACTAAATATTTCATTTCCTAAAGTTAAAGTACAACCCTGTGCCTGTAAGATTTTCCCAATACAACTTTATTTTCCCGGGATGATTTCTTTCGCGTCATTAACTTTTATTTATCTATGATATACTTGACCCATTTTTGAGTCTTAAGAAAAAAAAGAACTATTTCTTTCGTTTTAATTATGAAAAGTGGAAATGTTAAACAGTACCTTTACTATTTTTTTTTATATGGCTTTAATTTTCAGGTCTCTTGTCATCAGAAGAGAACGATGAATTAGGAAGAAACGACTCAAATCAAGTAAATTCTCGAACTTTTACCAACTTTAGGTGTAATTAGATGATGCCATACGCTCTCTTAAGAATACTTGCTGGATGGAGTTTTGTTCTCTGTAAGATCTAAGACGTTCTTTCCGTTAAAAATTTGAACTAAGCAAGAGTTTAGCCCTTAAAGGAGTCATCGGCTAAGCAAGAGTTTAGCCCATGGAAGAGTCATTGGCCTGCAAAATTTTAAAGTTTGATTTGTCGTCTTATTTTAGATGGAGAGTACAAACGATAAAATAGAGAAAAACTGGGAGTATTTGAAAAAAGAGGTAAGGAATTATTTGAAAGTTTAGTTCTTCTGATTTTTAACAGAATTACGTAGCACGAAATTAAAACGGACTTAACTTCATCAATAAACAGCACCACCAATTGCAAGTGAGAAAGCAGGAGCTCGAAAAAGAAAAGAAGAGTATGACAAAACAACTTCAAGATAGTTTAGAAGAGGTTGGTAACTAATTTTAATTTCTTATGAGCAGCTAGTTGGATATCTGATTTTCTTTACGTTTCCAACCAGCATGGTTACGAACCATTTCTTGTTAAACAACGGATACTTTATCTGATAATTTCCCGCTGATAGACACAAAACCAAAAAGTTTATTTTCCTTTATGTTGTTTAATAAACAGAACCAGAAATTAAGCACAAGAATTCAAGAACTGGAGGAAGAACTGTCCAGAGTACATCAATGGCTTCACGAAAATTCCCAAGAGGTTGGTAACCACATTTTCTTCTCTGTTCTTGCTTCTAAGAAAACCTTCCCATTCCAATATAATTGGGATGAATTTCCACATTTTCTGTTTGCTCTGTTCTTTTTTTCTGAACTTTTATCTTTTGATTTCATCTATATCAGGGTCAAGAGTAAAGACCAGAGGTTTGAAACTGGAAGCAAGTCATTCCACATCAGACATAGTTTTGATGATGAATTTCCAATGTAACCGATTTTCTGACACTAATCAATTGAACGCAACAAGAGGTCCTTTTAAAAAGCGGCCTTTCTTCTGACGAGATGTAATTAGGCGTCAACAAACCGCCAAATTTAAAGGAGCATTTCTGAACGCCGATTAGTAGTGATTTTTATTTCCCATCCCAATTGTATGGTTGGTTAAAGGGGTAAGTTTCTAAAGAAACCGTGGTGCTGCGTCGGTGGGAAGAGGTGGAAGAAAACCAGAGGTTTGAAAGGTCTGAAAGGGCTAACGCTCGAAACGACGGTGGCTAATTTACGTTTTCAACCCAGTTGAATAAATTAGAAGGTTGGTTAGGCATGTATGTCATAAAGCTGAATTTTCCTTTTAGGCAAATTTTGGTTCTTTTAACCGTGTACCAAACTGACGTTTGGTCTGTCCGATGTATTCGTTGTCACAGTCATTGTAAGGAATAGAATAAATGGCGTCGGTTCGTTGTTCTTTCGTGACAGGATCCTTAGGTTTGGCGAAAATATGCCCCAAAGTCTGAAAAGGTTTTTGAGCACCTTTAACGTTGTAACGTTGGTAGGCACATGTTACTTAATCTATGTTGAACGCCATAGAAATAGCTCATATTTCCCAAGCGAAAATGTAAAAAAAGTAGCGATGAAATATTTCGCAAGAATTAAAAATCATAATGATTTTTTTGCAATTTTTTCCGTTTGGGTATGGCCTTACTTTTTAAGAAATTTCCTTAGCCGATTTACAAGAATGGTGCGGTTTTCCGCTTATTCCCGAATCACTTGCATGAAAACAAGAGCCATTACTCATTACTTAATGGGCTCCTGGTAATAGAGATAACTATTGTCAGCTGTTGCGAGCGGCGTGTCTTGTTGAGGGTTTTTGCACAACCTAATAATTATATAGTTTTTACAGAAATTAAACCTGCTATGCATTAATTATAACTCAATTGCCTTTCTTTTTCTTCTGATGACAAGGAGAGTTTTGTATACTTTTGCAGGATTTTGGCGAGAACTTCGATAATTCTGTCCGAGAGGAAGATTCAGAGGATACCAGAAATTCTCTCGCACCTGATCGAGGAGTTACAGAGGGTAAAATCGACGAAAAGCTGAAAGACCTCAACGACCTCCTTTGTAGAAATGTAACATCTCTTTTGCAAGAGCTAGAAAGAAAGGAAGACAAACTGAAAGTTTCTGTCAAGCTCGCACTTTTAACGAGACTCAGTATAAGTCTACAGGAGTTATACACCTCAGTCCTCTCCATGGTGGCCGAGTGTTGTAAATGCAGTGAGGAGGTGAAACGAGAGTTTTACGACTTTGCATATCACGGTCTAAGAGCAGAACACAACGATGTGTTACATCGAGTTGAGGATTTGGCAACGGAACAAGAAATAATGACCGCCGAAGAAAAAAAGGAATTTGGTAAACTCCAACAATTTCAGACCAATCGACAGAGACAGGTTGATAGGCTGGAAAACCTGTGGATAGGTCTTTTCTCACTGGTAATAATGCCTGTTATTCTTTGAAAAATGCGGATTTGGCCGGCAAGTGCTATATCTTAGGCATTTTCGGAAGAAAAGAAATCCCAAGTGGTCTTAAGTAGATTGGAACTTAAGACCTTCTGAGCTGCACTATTTTGTTTGATGAAGAAAGGACTTGATTAACATAGATAACAAAATCGAATGATATTCCATTCTAATAATCTGATAGCTTCGTTTTCTTTTTCGAACAGACCAAAGAGTAGATTAAGTGCTTTCATCGAAAATGTTCAACATTGGAAAGTTGCTGACAAATTGATAACTCATACACATCAGACAAGAAATATCAGGGATATAAAGTAGGTCTAATATAAATTTTTTTTTACGTCTCTATGAACTGCAGCCTGAAAGTCGTCCTGAATGTGCACACTCTGACCCTTGTGGAGCGACTGGAAAGACTTGTCACTCTAAAAAGGTAAAAATTCATCTAGTGAATGAAGTAAATAAATTGCGCTTCGAAAAAGGGAGGTTTAAATAAACCTCTCGTAAGAGAACGCTTATTTGCATGGTTCTCCCCATCCTCTCTCTGCTTGAGTATAAGAGGCTTGCGTTCTGTTCGTTCCTTTGTTTTCCCTGGTCTTCGTCGAATTGCAAACTTATCATCTTAGGGGTTAGTTGGGAAATTTGTGGTGACTGATCGCCTACAACGTACTCTGACTCACTTTGTATTTCAGAAACTGGGATAAATTCCGGCAAAACACTCTCCAATTTTTCGGTCTGTTGGTTGGTTTTGAGTGAAAGAGATTGCACGAGGCCTAATACGTGTCAATGATCTGGGAATTGATATATTTTTTCCGAGTGAAAATTGGAAAGGAAATGAAATTCATAAGTTAAAGAATAAGAAATAGCACGGAAAAAAACCGAAGAAACTGAACACTCATTCCTTTTTTCCAGTATCAATCCCGGGTATTAATCCCACAATGCCTCTGCATTATTTGCCATGGAGTAAATGATTCTTCTCTTGCAGTCCAAAAAGACCACGATAAAGACTCTTTTCAAGAAAAAAGAAAGCAAAGAGACGTGCCGCCTTATGTCGTTTTCAGCAAGAAAACACAGGGATTCTTGACTGCCTTAGAGAAGATAGTAAGATCTCACATAACACTAGGTGACTAATTAACAAAAATCTAGCAACGCACATAGTCAACAAAGATTTAGAAAAAGACACATAGTTAACGAAAAGATCAAGGAAAAGACAAAATGAACGAAAATCTAGCAAACGCACAAGGTCAACAAAGATCTAGCTGAAGACACAAAGTCCACGAAAATCTAGCAAAAGACACAGTCAACGAAGATCTAGCAATCGCACAAAGTCAGCGAGGACGTAGCAAACCTACGAAGTCACATTGTAGCAGTGAACCCTTTACTCCCTGACATCAGTGTGCATATTCTCCATACTGTTCTCTATAAATTTCCTGAAGCGCTGGCGAGGAGAATTTGTTCCAAAATCAAGAAATTTATAAGTTGGTGATCATTTCCTTGATTCTCGTGACCTTAATGTTTTATCTAGGGTGATATTGTAAGGAGAAATTAGATGCTGGTCACTCTTAGGGGTTAAAGGTTTAACTGGTTGGTAGTACTTAGTTTCGGGGGGAGTCGAGATGCCTTAGTAAATTACATTGTAGCCAAAGCGGATATGAAATTGACGATGACAAGATCCCATTACATAGAACCCAGCACTGTAATGAATCTGCCATCCTCGAGGAAGGCGTCTCTGAGTGCGTCCAGCCATACAACAGGCACTTGAAGACGTTGCAAGCATTTGGAGCTATATGGGAAGTAAAATGCAAAGCCTTGTGTTCTTCAGAAAGTGGGTAGAAGTCTGGGGCAGAATTTTATATTCTCTTAAGCCGTGCAAGTTAGCTGCAATTTCAGCGCGATCGAAGAGTATTTTGCCGCTACGATATTGCAGGAGTTTCTCACTGACAGGTGCTTAAATATTGATTTAATTTCATTACGACTTTCTGATTCAAATGTGAAAATCAGTAAATCAAAAGACACTCCTTTATCACACTGGATTACGGTTTACTCTGTCAATCATGGCTAAAACCATGGTGATAGCGATACGCAAGCATGAGGGAGAAAAAGCACAATCTGCATCGGTTATTAAGGCAAGTCTATGATTTCCTAAATTTTCTTATCTACAGCCCACGAAACACGGTAGCCTCAGGTCTTAATGAGCCACAAGACTCCAAAATACAGAACAGCAACATAAGACTTGTTCTAGATTTAAAACGAAAAAAGTTTTCAAATGGTTGATACAGCTTAGCATCTTACAAATTGCTTAAGATACAAATGTAAACTATCTAAATGATAGCTTACAAATGCAAAGATCTTGCCTGCTATGGTTATTTTTTCTTACTGGTATTTAATGCTATCATTATCATCATAATTAACGTTGTAATTACTACAATTATTACAACTACTCTGTTATTTTGTGCGTGATGCTTTTATTCCAGTGTTTTAGAAAATTGTATAATGTAGATAAAATTTTATGCAAATAATTATTCCTGTATGTGAGTAAGTTACGTGTCTTAAGTTAACAGTTAGACTTTGGATCACTAATGCACAACAGGTATCAAAGTTACTGTAGAAGTGTAAGCTAAAGTAGTTTTGTGAGTAATCCTCATCATGTATGTTAGCCTTGTAGCCATGTAAGTTATGTTAGTAATGGTATTATTGTATTTCTGAGTCTTGTATAAAAAAAAGAAACAAAACAAAACAAAATAAAACAAAAAGTTTAAAATGGAATTTAGAATAGAGGTTTTCGCAGAATTTCCCACTTGCTTTGCTGAGAATTCCGCACACGCTGGTTCAGTAATCTTGGACTGTATACTTTCTCTTGATTCAGGCTTTATTGACGACAATTCAGCATTACACGTTCCGTTCTGCGATCTATCTACTCTATTACAATCTAATCCTAGGGTTACAAAAATGTTACATTTATTAGCTAAGGAAATCCACACCCAGATACGTAATTCCATGTGGGATTTAAGATTCACTTACGTTCTACTACGATTCGTGGGCACTAATTTACTATTAAATATGGCTTTACTTGACAATCATGCTGCTAAGTTCCTACACGCTTAAACACCCTGCAAATACCTAGTTTCATACATCACTGCTCGCAGAACTAATTTGATTACCCTATGCCGCTCCCAATTACATGTTACTTCTAACATGTTACTTCAACGGTATCGAAATTACAACTCAGTTAATGCATAATTAAATTCATAATAAATCAAGGAAATCAATTTTTGCGTGGAAACATTTCACAACAGAGGTAAAACCCAAAAAATCCCTTCAAATTATTATCTTGCCTCAACATTTACATAAAATCTGTCTGCTTTAGCATTTGGATCAAATGATGCTTGATCTGAAAAAATAAATATGAAAAAATAGTGTCTAAGAATTTCAGTTTTTAAGTACATGTATCCTTCCACACGTGAAGTACAATTTTCACATTACACTATACCTTGGAAACTGCTTAAAAGTTTAAATTGCCCAGCTACACCTTAGTTTGGTAATCTAGGTAAAACCACCTACTTCATCCAGCTCTGTGTATTCACTCTTTGGCCTATGAAATAGTGTTGAGAAAATTACATGAAAATCAATTGAAATGATGATATGAAGAATGCCGAATAATTTCTAGCCTTATAAAGAAAACAATAACACTTGTGAAGACAGATTTCCCTTGAGGAAACAATGTGTATAATTTGTGATGTAAGATTAGCTTGCGCGTAGTCGTACCCTCCCCCCTCATGGATTAGTGCCAGGTTTTCATAGATTGACGTGCATAAGTCTGTGTATCCATGCACGAGAGCTATTGAAGCCAGTGCTATTATGAATCTTCCATCCTCAAAAAAGGCGTCTCTGTTTACATGTCACATGCACTGAAAGACATTGCAAGCATTTGGCATTTTATAGGAAGTAGAATGCGAAGCACTGTGATCCAAAGAAAGTGGCTAGCAGTAATTTGTTCTCTGGTTCTACATTTACTTATCGTTTTAGTTAGCTGGGATTTCAGCGCGATCAAAGAACAAAATGGATGCTGCGATATCGCTGGAGTTGATTCGATTTCGATACCATTTTCTTATTAAAATGTGAATGACAATTACATGTAAATCATAAGACATACCCTATGGGCTTGTCACACAGGATTACAGTTTGATTTGTCAATCATGGCTAAAACCTTACATTATGCTATGCCTTACAGTTACGTTATAGCGAAACTTTTAGGAGTAGAGTACTAAAACATGGAACAACCTAAAACCACTAAAACCAACTACAATCATCTACAACTGTCTCAAAATTTCCAACCACCTACCACCACCTCAAAAACATCTACAGCCACTCGCAAACTATCTAAAACCATCTAAAACAAGGCATAAATGTCACAAATAAGGCGAAACGACAACATTTCACGTACATAAAATACGAGGATCGAACAAAAGCCTCCACCTCCCCCGAAAATCTTACTCTCCCTGGTCCCTTGTGTAATCAACCGTCTCACGAAATGAAATGCGAGCATGCCAATTATATTTTGTTACCTCAGTAGTAAAAGACTTTACAAGCAGACGTTTTGGCTCACGTTTCATTTCACGTAATGGTCCAAGGTAGTGTTTTTCTCCATTTATAATCTCAGCACTGGAAATGTAATTGTAGCAAAACGTGAGTCACTATTACATAAGTGGCACCACTCGTGCAACTGCATGCTGTATGAATGCCAGCATGCAGTGGCCCACAACTGTCTCGGCAAAACAAAAAAAGTCACGGCAAAACAAAGAAAACAAGTTTGTCAGCGGTTTGTCAGCGGTTGTCATTTGCATCTGAAATGGTAAGTCGTGTAACAGTAACACTCTGCTCGCTCGAAAAACCGCTATTTTTCGAGCTCACGATGTTTTACCGCGTGTGTTTCACGGTGGTAGATGAAGATGCAAACTTTTGTAAAAGCTGTGGTAGAGGTACGTTTCTTAATTTAAAGTGTTCTTATTTGCAATTCTTTTAGTTCCAAATAACGATAGGCGTGAGAAGACACTGCTACAAATTAGCTGATTAGCATGTTTCTGGAATAAGATTGTGCATGTAGCCTGTTTGTAAAAAGAAAAAATTCATAATGTATAGGCCTTGATGAAATTTTTTTTTCAACAGGTGGAAAACACTGTACGCCTGAAAACAGTCAGAAACACGGGTTAAAGGCCAAAACATTCCTGATTATTTTCAAAATCATTTATCTTGGGTTTTATTGATGTTAAACAGACTTAAAAAATAACACAGTTTAAAGTAAAGTTTTCTCTGAGTTAAGCTACATTATTTTGCTTCATTGTTTTTTTCCACCTGTTGAAAAATCATAATTCATCAAGGCACATACATTATGAATGTTTTTTTTTCACACAGACCTACATGCAAATCTTATTCCAGAAACATGCTAATCAGATAATTTGTAGCAGTGTCTTCTCCGCCTATCGTTATTTGGAACTAAAAAAATACAAATACGAATAGCTTTTACAAAGTTTGTATCTTCATCTACTACGAACCTTCAAACACAGGCTGAAAACATCGTGAGCTCGAATCAAAGTCTCTGTTGAGCAAACTCGTGAATTGACAGATGACTTACATGATTTTTTGGATTATACTTAAATATTATTTGGTTTAGAAATTTTGTGGTTGATTGTGATATTTAGGTACAAGCAATGGTTTAGTGTTAGCTAATGTAGCAAAAAAAAACAAAGCAACGTTGGGATAAGAAGGCATTACAATTGAAATGATCATACTATTACATTTGACAAAGGGTGGATGATGTCATGTGTTTTTAAACATATATCATTTTTGTTTCTGGTTCAAAAGAAAAGGTTGGAAGTAAATGCAGGTGAAAGTGGAAAACTGTCTATCATTGTAAAATATTGGAAAATCAAAGGCAATACTGTCTTAATGAGAGACATTAATGATTCCCTCTTTATCAAATGAGACAAACGGGAACGAGTTTTGAGTGATATAACTAAGCCCAGACTGCCACCGTCATTTTGGATTTCCGCCTGGGTAGATTTTGGTCACGTGCTAGACAACGTATAGTCGAGAACAAGATAGAATTTCATTTCAGGCCTATTTATCAATTTTGTGGCGTATAACTTTCGCATTTTAGTACGTAATATTTATTTTGAATCTTCAAATTGTCAAAATATATAATTTTTCATACGTTAGGCTGGTCTCGGTTAGTGGAGACGAGCGAAATAGTAGGGGAAAACGATTTTTAGAAGAAACTGCAACCATTTTTCACCTGGACGGAGAGCATAACACAGACTATTAAAAAATCTAGAGACCCGAATTGAGCAATAACGAGATAATTTCTAATTTCATATAATACGACGAAGAAATTCAACGGCATATGATTATTAATGTAAATACAAATAAAATGACTGGACAAAGGTCGGTTTTTATCCAACTCGACGTGAGTTTTTCGAGAGGAGAAACTCGACACTGGTGAGGGAAAATCAACGCACGGGCCTCAGACGCAACGTGTGTAATACCCTGGATTGTGCGCAGATGCGCCGAAACAACTTTTTCACAGGGTACAATTTACATACTAGATAATATCGCCATGTATAGACAACGTTGAAATTTGCTGAATAATGCAGTTGTAGTAGTCATAGGAAAATAGCGTTCACTGGCCTGGGTTGACAATTACATCTCGCTTTATTACATTCACTTCTATTCGACTTTAATCGGTGACGACCAGTGGATTTCCTTTTTGATATTTATCTATATTTACCAAAAATTCGCCATGGAAATTTTAAGCTCAGTCGCACAATCGGAAAATCTTTTTTCACACGCTGTCTATTCACGTTCTGACTTCATAACTCCAGTGTTCACTCTATCACGGTTTTCCCTTGCGATTTTAATTTGAAGGAATTAATTAAAACCGAATGAAACTTTAAATGAAGACGCATGTAAAAAACGCACTGACAGCATGGTGGCCACGTGCATTTCATGCAAGGCTGCATCCGGAGTCGGTGTTACCGCCAACCGACAAATTATTTACAGGACAGCGGTCTTTAACACGGAAATAAGTAAACTGAAAACGAAACGAGTTGAAACGGGGCGCCCCTAGCCAGTTGGAATATTTAGTCTCGCCTTCTTCCTAAGAGCAGAATTTAGCTGCTATTTGCCTGACAAGGAGACATTTTCAGAATTTGCGACTAAGGTTTGTACCCAGCATTTAGTCATTTGACTTCACCGACGAGCGACAACTGAATAACATAGCAAGCTCAAAGGAAACAAAATCGAAGAAAAGGTTAATTTTCTTTACGACTGGATTTTCTAAATATTAATAACCGTTCCTATATTCTTTGCACACAGTTTAACAGATGGTCATTGAAGCTATGGACCATAGCCACGGGGCCTACCTCAAAACTTTCATGTTAGCCTTCGATACCATAAAGAACCTCGTCGCCAAGTATTTATCTGTCCGACGTTGCCAACACTTGAGTTCATAAAGACACTGCTATAACCTGAGTACGAGTGGAAAAAATCAGTGTGATACACGAAATTCGTCTTCAGAAATGGGTCAGTAGTTTTAACTTCAGCCATTACGCATTTGCGAGCTCAAAGTTATGAATAAACTGTTATTTCCGCGTAAATAAATTTCCTAGAAAGGGTTACTGTTTGGATACGACATATTTATGTTTGTCTCTATGTATGGCGATGCTACGAAAACGCTGCTACATATCGCCTTAGCACCGGTGCGAATTCGTCTCGCCCTGTTATATATGCCACATTTTGATAACATGCAGAGGAGATATTTTTTTACCTTTAAATTGATTAGCTTGTGTGAAGACTATATGCAAGGTATCTATAATTCTATTCATTGCAGTGTGTTGTTTCTTTAAGTACTTACGAACATTAAGACAACTCTTTCAGCAATATTGCTCGAAATTATAGTGAATTTATGATTTTCAACCAAAGAAATAATACCATAGGCGTCCTTGTCATGAGAGTTAGTTTGGTAAATATCATATATTTGCCTGTTTTGATCAAGACAAATTTATTTACCTAACTGCGATGTCCTGAAGATGAAGACTTTAAGGACATCCAACTCTCATTTAGTAACTTAAAGATGATCTAAAAACCGTAATTTATATCGTGGTAGTTCGATAAGTAGTTCGCCTTTGAAGCCCCTAAGTCATGAAAACGTATGAAAACATGGCGGCTTCGGAAGTTAACGTTTCAAGCTATCTAAGGGTCAGTTGAAGAAAGCAAGAGCCGTTTTATAGAATGGTAAATATCTTTCATAGACGGCTTTGACTCTGAAATTATCTCGTCCTCGAATCTAGTTATGGTTAGTTAGACTAGCGAAGGATGATCATTTGGATCATGGTTTTCTTCGGGTAGTTTCGATTTGACTCGTTGAAACAGGAACTGTTTATGAAACGGGAAAGTCCCTTGAGTGCGGAATCGCATTGATTACCATATCACGTGCGGATCATCAATGCTCCAGACCATTTATGACTCAAGAATCGACGTTTTCAAGAGTGACAAGAACGTGATAATGCTCAACATAGATCAAGTCGATATTTGCCTCCTTCAATTCTTTTCTTGTGGGCACTGTTCAAAACGTTTTGAAAGTTCTATATTTGGTCACATTTCTTAAAACCCAAATACGTCATTTGAATTGACATCATTAGTTAGGAGAAAGCTGTTAGGGATAATTGATTCTTACAGTTCTCAAACTTCACGCGAAAACCAATAACTACTGAAAGCAGGAAAGACTAAAGTGAAAACAAAAAGTAAATTTCATACCAGATGGGCTCCTTCAGGGGCCGTTCTGTACTCCTATTACGTGACAAGCCTCCTCTTGTGTTGCGTGACAAGCCGAAACGATAACATAAATATTGAATTTTAAGTAAGTTGTCATGTGTTACCCAAACCGAAATTCTAACTACACCTTTCAGTGGTATCTTTTCTTCTTGCCCACGAGAAATTCCCGCCCAAGGTAACATATTTGATAGATTGAGATGTTGCAATATTTCATGTCTCGCTCATTTGATCGTATTAACGTGATAAAATTGCGCACTATTAGTATTCAGGCTATTTTTATTATATCATGTTTAAGACTCTAACATAAGCTAATTGTAATACCATCAGATTTCTCCATGAACAATAACACGCTCGACCCGAATGTTGGGATGACTGAGAGTATTATTCATGAGCACCAGCTGCCCAAGTTGATTGGACCGGAAAAGTGGAGAGACTTGGCACGAATGCTAGACTTCTGCCAAAATGAAATTGACATTATCAGTGAAAAAAACAATTGCCCCAAGGAATGTTGTATCGCTGTCCTCGTAAAATGGATCCATCGAGGGGGACAGGACGCTACTGTTGGAAAGCTTGTAGATGCCCTGACTAAGATAGAACTTAAGAGCGTGGCTGACATATTACTGGGTGAGTAAAATAGTTACGATCATTTGCTTATTGTTCAGTATTTTCAGGAGAAGAAGAACCAAATTTCGTCTTAGTTCCATCTATTTATCTATTTTCGTCAAAATGGCATAGCGCAGTTGACAAAGTAGCTGGCATAACTATGTTTCCCTAATGATATTTACTGCCCAGGGTATTACTAGAAATTTGAAGCCAGGTCAAATATTTAAAGACTTCCTGGAAAAACTCTTTAGAATCCCTGACGTGACTGTGCGTGTTTTTCAGGAGAGAATTTCTTTGAATTTAACCTAAGAAATCCGGCTCTTTTCCAGTGCATACATTTGCATGAAATGGGGGCAGACTGTAGGAAGTGTTATATTTACACTCGACCTCTGAAATGTTACAAATAGCTTCCGTCCTCTCTGGTGATGTTTTTAAACAAGTGTGCAGCGAAATGCGCGGAAAGATGGGACTTCTTAAGATTAAAACAATAGTACTCACTTCCGAACACCAGAGAGGGTTTTTCGATCGTTTTTCTTCCCAATACTCTTTATTGCTTAACATGTACAAAAACCATAATACACATTTTAAAATGGTTTGTTTAAGGTCCGATCAATGGTAAAAAAACCATCTCTATTGAAGTTAGAGGGACTATTGAGGTAGACAATACAAACCAGGTTAGTTCGTTATTCTATAGCAATTAACATTGGTTGCTGAACTGTTCTGTCACATGTAAACTTCGTAATGGGCCACCCTCACCACAGAGTCTCTGTGGCTTAGTGGTAGAGCATCACAGCGCGGAATCCAAAGGTCTTTCCTTTCAGTCTTGCATTTATTTGTGTAATGTCCCAGCAATTTTTTAAGAGAGTTACGTGTATTTCATTTTTATAAAGTTCACATTTTCAGCAATATTTTCTTGATGTGAATTACCAGTAGAGATTTTAAATACATATCTGATGTGAATGCATAGGACTTTTAATTGTCCTTTCAGGAAATCAAAGACTATATGAATACTACCGACCAGTTTGCAGGAAATACACCCAAGCAAACAGAACAAGTCGTGGTTGAAGATCTTACCTGCAAAGTTAACCAAATTTCCGAGGACATAGAAAATCTTCAAAAAACACTTTCAGACATAAAATCCAGTTTGGACATGCCTGAATTAAAAGGTGAAACCTTCACAATGCAAGGAAAATTGGAGTTCATCGGCAAACAGAGCAGAACATTGGAGGAAGTGTACTCTAAAGTAACAAGAATGACAGGCCAAGCTTGTGCATGTGACAAGTTCGTGAGGAGACAGTTCTATGATTTTACCTTTTGCAATTTAAAAGCCGTACATGATGATCTGAACGCTCGTGTCGCCGACCTGAAGTCAGCAGACACAAACCTCACAAAGGAAGAAAATGAGAAGCTTCAAATTCTTCTGGCAGACCAAAGAGGAAGAGAAAAACAGGTTGAGCAGTTGGAAGCAACGAGGGCGCAGCTATTCTTCTGCGTATGTAAAATTACCTGCATGCTTGATGTTGTTTTTGTAAGTCTTTTTGTATGCTTTTGGCTAAAAGCCATTCTTTCTCCATACCATGTTAAATTTTTTTGGTGTGGTTACGGTCAGAAATATCCAAGTTATTTCAAGCGCACATGTAGAATCTTGCTGGCTTGTGTTATGAGAGAAGCGCAAAACGTCTTTGTCAGCTATCCAACGCTGTGAAATGTGAAGTAACTTCAGACCACTCCAATGACCCTACTAAAAGAGGAAAAACTGAGACAAACAGTCACTAGTGAGATGTGGATGCGAGAATAAAGAGCATGGAGGAAAGTTTTACTTACACTTGGGTAATAATCCACCATTAATAGAGCTAAACTGCTCTTATTTTTGTTTTTATTACAGGCTGAGGAAGAACAGAGGATATCTAAATACTCATCACCAGAGAGACGAAAGTCAGCGCCATCTATTCCAGTGCAGGTAAATTTAGACGAATATGAAAGTTCTAAATGTTTTTTAGCAAAGGTGTATATCTATGCACATTGTGTTCTTCTCTAGGACTTATTTTTATACCTTAATGACGCCTTTTCTTTCGAAGGAAATTGTGAGTTTATCAGGGTGTGAAGTAAACTATTGAGAAAGAGATTGATGGGAGGGCTTAAGGGAACCACGACAACAGGACAGGTTTATAGAAAAAGACCCTTTTAAATTTAAGTTTTCGATGAATTGCCTTGAGGTAAACGTCTTTAAATGATTTCGAAATTTTGTCTTTTGGGTACCATCAGAAGATACAGACGGGGTGTTGCCAAGGAAATCTACCAGGGTTTGGTCAAGCTTTTAATCTCACAATACTCACTTTTTACAAACAAACCGTTACCGTATAGAGAATTTTCCCCCCGTGTTCTCATGATTCAAAAAGGTTTTTTATTGATGCCTCCAACGGACGCCTTGTACTTTTCCTAGTCTTCCATTTATTTGTGTAATCTCCCGGCAATTTTTTTAAGAGAGTTACGTGTATTTCATTCTTATAAAGTTTACATTTAAAGCAATATTTTCCTGATGTGAATTACCCGTAGAGATTTTAAATACATATCTGATGTAAATGCATATGACTTTTAACTGTCCTTTCAGGAAATCAAATACCATATAAATACTACCGACCAGTTTGCAGGAAATACACACAAGCAAACAGAACAAGTCGTGGTTGAAGATCTTACCTGTACAGTTAACCAAATTTCCGAGAACATAGAAAAACTTCAAAAAACGCTTGCAGACATAAAATCCAGTTTAGAAGTGCCTGAATTAAAAGGAGAAACCTTCACAATGAAAAGAAAGTCGGAGTTCATCGGCAAACACAACAGAACATTGGAGGAAGTGTTCACTAAAGTAACAAGAATGACGGACCAAGCTTGTGCATTTAAAGAGTTCTTCAGGAGACAGTTCTATGATTTTACCTTTTACAACTTAAACGCTGCACATAGCGATCTTAACGCTCGCGTTGCCGACCTGAAGTCAGTGGACTCGAACTTCACAAAGGAAGAAAATGAGAAGCTTCAAATTCTGCTGGCAGACCAAAGAGGAAGAGAAAAACAGGTTGAACAGTTGGAAACAACGCGGACGCAGCTATTCTCCACTGTATGTAAATTTACCTGTATGCGTGCTGTTGTTTTTGTATTTTTTTGTATGCTTTTGGCTAAAAGCCATTCTTTTGCCATGTCATGTTAAATTTAGTCTGGTAACGGTCAGAAAAACCGAAAACTTCTGGCTTGTGTTATGGAAAAAGCGGAAATTCTCATGGCCAGATATTCAACGGTGAAATTTGAAGTATTTCGAACCATTGCAATAAACCTACAAAAAGAAGAAAAACTGGTACAGACGGTCAGGAGTGAGATGTAGTTGCGAGAATTAAGAGTATTGAAGAGATCTTTTCTCACTCTTGGGTATTATTCCACCACTTATAAGAACTAAATTACTCTTATTTTTGTTTTGATTGCAGGCTGAGGAAGAACAGAGGATATCTCAATATTCAACATCAGAGAGGCGAAAGTCAGCGCCATCTATTCCAGTGCGGGTAAATTTTAAGAGAATATGAAAGTTCTAAATGTTGTTTAGCAAAGGTTTATATCTATGCACATTGTGCTCTTCTCTAGAACTTATTTTTACATCTTGATGGCCGCTTTTCTTTTGAAGGAAATTGTAGGATGTGAAGTAAACTGTTGAGAAACGGGTTTGATGGGAGGGCTGGACAGGTTTAAAGAAAAAGAACCCTTGAGATTCAAGTTTTCAATGAATTACCTTGAGGTAGACGTCTTTAGATGATTTTGAATTTTTTTTCTTTTAGTTACCATCAGCAAATATAGATGGGGTGTCGCCGAGGAAATCCACCAAGGTTTGGTCAAGCTTTTAATCTCACAATACTAACTTTTAACAAACAAACCGTTACCGTAGAGAGTTCTTTTTCCTTGTGTTCTCATGATTCAAATATTTTTTTAAGGGACGCCTCCAATGGTCGCCTTACACTTTTCCTAGTCAGGTTAAGCCCAGCAGCGCTTATCCCTTTTCACCTTAACATCAGCATGCCCATTCTCCATACTGTTTTCTATACAATTCCTACGGTGCTGACAAGGAGAATTTGTTTATCAATCTAGAGAATATTTAGTTGGTGATCATTTCCTTTATTGTCATGACCTTGCTGTGTGATGCAGGGGTCATACTGCTGGGAGAACTTAGATGCTAGTCACTCTCAGGGTTAAAGGGTGAAACATCAGCCTCCTGCATAAGCCATACGGCATATGGCTCCTGATAAGTCTTTTTTGACTGACCTAGTTAACAAAATTAGAGTACCGGTGAGACTCATGATCAACTAGTCCTGTCATGGGTTATAATTGTCATCTTCCTGTTCCAGGTCAAACGAAATAAAACATGGAGTCTTTTTAGAAGCTGGAGGAAGAGCAGTGAAATACCTGCAGTGAAGGGCAGTGAAAATATGTGCAATCTTGTTTCCTATTCCCAAAAGGCTCCGGAGGATTCTTGACTCTAAAGGAAGGTCTTAAGTAAAAAGTTGAAGGTCACATGTTGCAATGTATTATTCTATTGACACCAGGTACACCTGTTATGCCCAACGAAAAACATGTTTCATGTCTAGAAGAGTCTCTCTAGGACTTGATTTCCTTACGTAGTTAAAGGAAAAAAAGAGGGACTCAGTTATGCAAAACGGAGCATCTACCATCTTTACCAAATGGGCTATTTCTGTTACGTTTCTAATCTGATGGTTAAGCATGCAAGGTCTTCAAGCTTCCCTAGAGGAAACGAGCAATAAAAATTCATCGTTTTTGCGATATATTAGGAGGAATTACTAACATAGTATAAGTATGATGATTTGTTGCTCATTTTGCTCTATTACTAAAGCTAAGAGTAAGAAGACACTGCCACCTTTTGGGGCAAAATTTTAAGTTCAAGGCCGCAGTAGAAAAGTATCAATAAAAACTGGCATACGCTGGGCATTAAACATTAAAAAGGTTTACGTAATTGTAACGTGTAGAATAATAACATGAACCTTAGTAAGAATAGAATAAATGTGCATTTATGGAAAGTAAGCTCAAAGGATTCAGGCTTGGAGATTGTCAACATTATTAAAGCTAAGCTATTTCATTTAAAACAATCAGGTTTTACAAAATTTAGCATTAGATTCTGTGGCAAATTTCTTATTATACAATTATAACCAAAACACCGCACAATTAATATGAACATCAAAGTTTATAAGACCTTTTTTACAGAAAACGAATTGACATAACTAAATGAACATAGTGATAGTGGCAAATTAAAAAAAAGAAAAGAAAAAAATCGGAAAATTAATAGTAAAAAAATACTGCTTGGGCAGCATGTCTTAGCCTTAGTAGTGCTGGAACTTTAGTGTTACGTTCGGAGGTCGATGATAGTATTCTTCCGGAGTCTCCTCAGAAGCATAAGTATGAGCAATGAAAATAGTCTTTTTTATATTCTTTAAGGGTTTTGGTGGACTCTTTGCCATTAATAATGGTCTTAAGTACAAAGCTGAGGGTCAAAAGGCAGGATATTGCATTCTATGGAAATTATACAAACTTGTTATACCGAGTGGAAACATGTTTCATGTCCAGAGAAGGCCCTATAGGACTCGAAGCATATACGTTGTTAAAAGAAAAAAAATTCAGTTCAGTGTAAGTTTTTCTATGAAAAACTGGGATTCTATCTTTTCCACTGAAGAGACCATTTCTGACGTTACTCATCTAGTGGTTATGAAAGGAAATGAGACATTTAAGAATTGTTTATTTTAGATTACAGCAGGAGGAATTGTAAACATAGTATGTGTATTTTGTTGCTTTCGGGCGTACAGTTATAAGTAATTTTAATTAAAGAAATTAAAAAAAAAGGATGAAAAAAGAGAAAATACAAAAATCATTTAAAATTAAATCTAGACAGGTCTTAGTCTTAGTAGAAATTAAGATGGAATTGAACACGTTTGGAGGTCTTTGGTCTTATGCTTCCGACTTAATTAATTCTGGTTATATTGTCCGTCGACAGGTTCTAAATTGTTCTTGTTATTGGCTACGGATATGAATTTGATTTAGGAAATCATTTATCGCCGGCTGGAGTTTCAGGAGTCTAAGAATGCAAAAAAAAAAAAAAAAAAAAAAAAAAAATTGCTCGTTGAACAGTCTAGCTGAGATAGAAGTGATCTCTATGTAATAATTTTGTATTAACCATAAATTAGACATATCTTTTGAAATTTTTTAAGCAGAAGGGGGAAGGTTATAATAATTGCGAAGTTTTTTGGATAATTTATTGTAAGAGTTACTTCGCTATTAATAAAGTCAATTGTCAAGCTGGAATTAGTTGAAAACTTTCAGTTGCTTTAATTATCTTCCTTAATTGTGAAGTTTTTCCAGAAAAAGAAAACATTTGGCCAGGATTACCCACTTTTTTCTGCTAAAATTACTTACTTTGATCCCCAAATGATGCTTGCATTAGGTTTACATACTTTTTAACTTTTGAGAGGAATTACTGTTGTCAAAAAAAAAAGAAAGGTTTGAAGTCTGCCCTGGAACTTTTCCCAGTTTCTCTGGCAAAAAGGGGACCAGAAATAATGCTGATCCCTTGGGTAGTTAACCCGACCCCCAAGTATTTCGTCAAATTCCGCTGTCTGCTCGCTGTTACCCATTTCTAGAGGCATCGAGAGAATAAAGCACCTTGCCAAGAACTCAACACAGTGACCTAGCAAAGTCACGAACCAGCTCTCTCTTCGACCCGTGATCTAATGTATTTCCTTCTTTTTAGAGAAAAAAAGACCTTATTTATAATGTGGGTATAGTAAAGAGTCCTTGCGAGACCTTGCGAGACAGAAAGGAAAACGTCGAGCTTCTTTTTAATGATAAGTTGCTCTTTTAGAAAGAAATTGGATGGTAGAGGCCTTTTTAAGAGAGAAAGATGTTTTTCGTCTTGCCACGAGCGTGGGACAAAGAAAAAAATTCTGATTCCCCATGAGAAATCGAACCTCAGACCTTCGGATTCCGCGCTCCGATGCTCTAATCCTTTATCAAGCTCAAAATTTACCGTCTCTCTTATTCTGTTTACAAACATGGCGTTATGGACATTACTGATCCTTGCAGTATGCAGGACGCGTGTCATATGAACTTCGTAATTGACCTCGCCCACTTTAGAGTCTGTAGCTCAGTGGTAGAGCATCGTGACGCTGAGTCGTACTATTTATGTCAAGCAGACTAATTTTTAAATTTTGAGTTCAATTAAGAAATAGAGCATCAGAGCGCTGAGTTCGAAGGTCTGAGGTTCAAATTCTTTGTCCCACGCGCGTGAAAAGACGAAAAACATATATCTCTTTTATCATTCTACTTCCTTATTCAGTATAACTTACCACAAGCGAGAGAAGGAGCGAGGTGAGGGGTAAAATTGGTCTTATGACTAATATTAATGTCACGCACACTTATTTTTGGCTGGTAACTTCACATATTTTAGTTCTTTAGACGATTTATTATTATTATTTTATAAACGACTTGTTCTTTTCCCATTTTTGAAAACATTTTTTTTGGTCCGTGATCCGATCCGTAATCCAGTCCGGTCCGATCCAGATTTTGTCGACACCGATTGTCGTCAATGTAACGACGTAAAGTTCAGGTTTGAGGGCGGCTGTATTGACCGAAAAAATTGGTGTTCGGTAAAACTTACAATGTTTTAGTGGATGAAAGTGAGATCCTTGTCAAAGCTTCCTTTTGGCAGGGGTTGGCCCGCCAAACAATGACTTCGCCGCCTTTGTCGGCCGCTTTGATAACTATGTCTGCTTTTGTTTTTTTGTTTTTTGGCTTTTTAGTGTTTTAAAACTCTTCACGGTGGCCAATTTACGTTATAAAATCAGTTGACAGTACTTAATTACCCTATTTCAAAGACAGCCCGTTTTTGGCCAGCTGCACAAATTACTGAAAATTCATTATCCTTTGTCTTACGAATATGATTTTTCCCTGTTCTGATGTCGATGAAATTCGAAATTATTTTTATTCCGAAATAAGGCGATATTAAACTGGCACTATTTTCATTTCAGCAGCGGTAAATGCAGTGTGAAAAAAAGAGATCGCAGAATTAATTCTATATTTGCTTTATTTCATTAGCTTTGTTGACTTAAATAAAAAAAAAGGTACCGGACAAATGGCTTTAACTGAATGTTCTTGATAAAGAAAAAAATTATGAATATTGACATGTGTGTGCAGCTTTAGTTTTAAGAAAAGAAGCCTTTAGAAAAATCAATAAATAAAGCCATGTTCATATTTTGCACAAAAAAGGCGCAGTTTAGACAGTGTTACTAAGCCTGATTAAATTTTCGTCTGAAAATTTGATCTACAAACGCTTATTTGAGTTGATTTTAGGGGGCGGGAATTAAGTTGTGTGGTTTGAAAATTTGAATTTGAAATTTATTTCATAGAGAAATGAAGGCTAAAAAGCTCTCTCAGCTCAGGAAATATATGCATCAAACCCTAGTATTTTAGCTTGGGGCTCGCACAATTTTGTAAAGAGTTTGAGTTGGATTCAATCTGGAGAGAATGGCTTATAAGTAGAACCTTCCGAACATGCCGATTATTAGACGTGCTGATTTCATGAAGAAAACAAATCAAGTTTCTACTGCGCTGTAAACTGTCGCCAGAACTGATAATAATATCAAAGAGGGTTATTAAAAAAAGGTAATAATAGTAAAAACTGTTTTCTTGGTCTTGCTATTTGAGTGGGCCTACAATGGAAAACAATGTCCAGGGTCAAGACTGAATATTATTGGCGCTCAGAGAAATATTAAAAAAAGCAATCAAGATTTACACACATAACGAGACCCGTGGGAGGGTTTTTCTGTGTCACATACAGGTTTTTAATTTGTGTAAAAATTTGAACAGAGAATATTTAATGAGGGAATCTAAAGCCGATGATAGGTTGCTAAGAAACTTAAATGGGCTCCTGGCCCTCATTCATTTTAAACTCCACCTTCAGACATACATTTTAATACGGGCTCCTGTGAGTCATCACGACTCAGTTAAATGTAAAAACACTTACTTGTGCCTTACAACATCAAAAAGAATAGCAGCGAATAAGATTCCAAAGCTCTACCGATCGAGATGTTAAAACATTCTAGGCGCCGAAATGTAAGTAGGGTCTTATTTTATTGGCAGAGCTAAGGCTGGTTTTTATCTATGGGAAAATTCAAAAGATCCTGGATAAAAAATGTTACTATTTTTTAGTCATCCATACATGTTATGGGAACACATCTAGAAATTTTCAACGTCAATGTCCACGATTCTTCCGATATTGAATTTGGTTATACTGTAGCCGAGCATTTAACTATTGTTGATGAGCTAAAAATTATCTGTTTGAAGAATCATTGACGCCCTAAACTTGAAGTTTTCATATGCTTCGGATGTCCTTCAAAAATCGTAAAAACCGATGATGTATTGAGCTAAAATAGGTGCTCTAAATTTTCTTGATGTCTCCGGCCTCGAACATTCCAGACACTGTGAGACTCGCAGCTTACGTTTATCGAGTTAAAAAAAACCTGGGACGGTGGAGGAGCGATATAATACTCGGTGTCGGATTTGTTAGTCAATCGGTACGATGGAATTGGAACCCGACATAAGGGAGCGCTTTTGAAAACTAACTCAACCTACAAACTTCTTTCGGTCACGTGTCGTAAACACTTCCAGTTCAGCTGTGCAATTTTTTAATTTTTTATTCAGAGGATGGTCTAAATGAGGTTAACCGCCATCTGTCACATTGCCCAAATTTTGACCGTCAACCGTCAAGAATGCAAGATTTTTACCGTCGCATCCCTAAGATAGTTCTCATTGAGAATTCAAAATATAAGCTCTCTGTAAGCCATCGCCTTCAATATTCCCAGTTAAATTATGTACAGTTCCTTTGTGTAAACATCTACGGCTAACTTACAAAACGTTATTTCCTCGGGAACACTTCCGGTGACGAAGAATATTACTCGTGTATTTGAGAATACAAGAGGACACGCTAAATCTGCTAGAGTACACACTATTCGAACGAACAGGTCACTTGGTCAACTGACAAAACGTTATTTCCTTGGGGACACTTCCGGTGTCGCGAAATATTACTCGTGTATTTGAAATGCAAGAACACACGCTAAATCTGCTATAGTACAGACCATTCGAACGAACGGGTCACTTGGCTGTCACTCTTAGTCAAACAGCTCACAAAAAAATATTTTTGTAATTTCGGTGTGAGTCTGAATTCAGTGAATAGCCTCACAAAATTGAATTTGTTAAAAGAAACTGAGAGTAAAGTGAGAATAAAAAACTGGTTCTTATAATGAATATTGGCCGTGGCAGCGGCAATGTGAGTCAAGGAAACAGGCAAATGAGGACACCTGAAATATTCATGCAAGGTGTGTTATAGTTTTAACGCAAACATTTTAATTTGATGTTTAAAACATTCATTGAAAATGTTCTTATTCAAATATTTGCGAAATTGCTTTCTTTGATGGAAAATTGGAACCTGAATAAAAATAAGAGAAGTGTCTTTCCGAAAAATTGACCGTAAACCGTCAAATGGCAAATTTGAAAATGTAAAAAAGAATTTTTTCAATTTTTTAGTTTAAAATATTCATGCAAGGTGTGCTACAGTTTAAACGCAAACATTTCTGTAATTTGATTTTCAAAACATTCGTTGAAATTTTTTTGTTCAAATAATTGAGAAATTACTTTCTTTGATGGAAAATTGGAGCCTTTATAATAATAAGTGAACAGTTTTTCCGAGAACTGATTGACCGTAAACTTTATCAATTTTTGAGTTAAACTTTTTTTCTCCACAGATACTAACAATTGTCTTAGTAGCAGCTTTGTTTGCTATCGTAGCGGTAAAGATGCATTTCGGTCCTAGTTTTCAAAAACGTGGGGGTAAGTTAAAAAGAAAAAGGTTCCATTTGTTAAAAAAAATATCAAACAGCAAATGACCTGCTTAATCCTTACAAAACACTGACAAATTAACAGAAGCGATCGCTGAGACGACAGCAAAAGCAATGAACCAATCAGCAAGCGAAACAAAGACAAGTGACCGATGGAATGCGCGGGAAAAGTCACATGATCAATGGAACAGAGCTGATGGTAAGTTGTCAACCTTTATTTGCGATGAAATTTCTGGTACAAGACTCACCTCTGTACTTTCTTTGTGAAAATTGAAGGGTCACGGTGAAAATTTGCATCTTCTCTAAATACAGTGCGTCTCTTACAAAAGCAATACATACGTGATATTTGTTTTTTTTCCAGATGGCAGTCTTTGTCCCCATCTGGGTTTAAAAATTACTCAGATGAAAATGAGGCGTCATCGCCACCTGAAATTACATGCAGGCCACATAGGTAAGGATCTTGAAAAGTTAGCAGATTGAGAGGTGAAGGTAAAGTAATTTCACCATTCCGCCGTTCATTTTCCTCCTTTTTTAATCCTTGCTTGACCGTGGCAGTCTCCTCTTCTTCCCCCCCTCCAGGACATAAGAAGTCTTTTTGTTTTATGTGTTTAAATCTCAAATAAATTTTAGCTTCTTTTAAAAGTTAAAAGTTTGGAGAAAATGTTTTTTATAACTTACATATTCCCTAACGCGAAGAAACTGGATTAATATGGCTTGATTTTATACATTTTTGATAGAAATATAATCGCGTTTTACCAACTGGGTTGTTAATGTAAATTGGCCTCCATTAAACGAATCTGAATCGAATGGCTGATGCTAGAAATGACAGCTTTATTTAGATGCTCTCTACGGTGGCCAATTTACATTATCAACTCAGTTGTTAAAACAAAACTATCTTGGGGTAAAGTAAAAGATGTTTTTTTTTCGTCTTGTCACGAGCGTGGGACAAAGAAAAAAATTCTGAGTCCCCATGAGGAATCGAACCTCAGACCTTCGGATTCTGCGCTCCGATGCTCTCTCACGATGAAGTTCGATTCCTCATGGGGACTCAGAATTTTTTCGTTGTCCCATGCTCGTGAATAGACAAAAAAAAACATCTTTCTCTATTTCTTTACCAAGCTCAAAACTTACCATCTCTCTTATTTCTTTCTATCTTGGGATAAGTTTCTAAAGAAACTGTGGTGCTACGTAGGTGGGAGAGCATAACAGGGTAATTTAGTGTTATCAACTCAGTTGATGACGTAAATTGGCCACCGCATAAAGTTTAAAAGCTGACGTTTCGAGTGTTAGCCCTTCGTCATATCGATTATCTTGTATTACCCGGCGACGCAGCACAACAGTTTCTTTAAAAAACGTAACCCTTTATTCATTGGTAAGAGATGACCAAGTAAAAATAACGTACTCGTAAATCTTAAAAATCTAAAGAAATAAAAATTTTGCCTATAAAGCGGAATAAATGTTAAATTGTAATAATCTGGTTTATACGCCTTCTATAGGTCAGACAAAGTAGGCTGCGAGCAAGCTTATCAGTACTACGGGCATCCAGGACAAGTGGAGGAAAGAAGCTGCGACGAGGTCAATTACCCAGACATCTGCTCCTTCCAAGTTACAAAGTCAGGAGAACAAACATTATTATGTGACGCTAGTGTCTGCGGGTCATCACGTATTGAAATCGGCTCTATCAATCCATATATGGGCAAAATTTCTAAATGGACGCCAATATCAAATAAAAGAATGACTAAAACCGTACAAAATGCTGTGGAAACAAACAGGAGAAACGGGTTTGGCTTCCTGTTCTTGAGGTGTGGAAATCTCCTTCAAGTGCTCATCTTTCCTCCGATGTTACAGAAACTTAAAGATAGCAGAGACAGACATAACATCAATGTTAACGTGATCCTTCTGGATTCTATATCCAGACCACATTTTTACAGAAGTCTTTCGAGAACTGTGGACGTTCTCCGGAAGATTTCACGTGATCCTAGCTTCAAGGCCACCGCCCTAGACTTTGAGCTCTTCCAGAGTGTAGGTCAGCAAACATTTGACAACTTGAGGCCGTTTTTTTCTGGAGTCATACAAGGTATGAATATGAAGCACGTTCTATACAACTTTTTTAAAATCTGCGCCTTACGTTCAAATTGGCAAACCTTTACGAGATCTCGTTACAACATGTGTTCGCAAACCCAACTAATTGAGGGTGTTTGTATCCTAGATGATAACGTTGTGACTAACACCGCAAAAACCGTTAAGGCACCTTTAGGCGTGGAGGTACTGTACGGGACTTTCAAGAGATGGGGCTATCAGACCCTCTTCCAAGAGGACCTTTGCTGGTTTGACCGTTGGGGAGTGGTCTTGACAGATCTTGAAATAAGAAGAAAACCCAGTACGGACTCAGAATTCATAGAAAGGTAAAGTTTAAAAAAAATGGGGTTTCTAAAGAGACTTGGTTAGCTTTCTATCTCAATGAAACTGGCCTTAAAGTCGATTATTTGAACGCTTCAGTGTCGTGGAAATACTATACTTTTGATTTTGTATAATTATCTCTTAGTGCCCATGATAAATCTGTCGGCAAAGATTTGACAATTAATGGTAGCTTTTTTTTTTTAAAGAAACCATAATTTGATAGCAAAAAATACCAATAATTTTCCAGGTGGAAAGAATTCCAAGAGATAATAAAAAAGAAACTTATCGATAACTTTGGCTTGATGCATTTCTCCGGAACAGTACTGGAAAAGTATAACGAAACAAACCATTTTGAAACTCCTCCAAAAGTGTGCTTAAATGGACAGTTCTTCAGTAAGTATTTCATGGATTACCTACAAATGGTGTACACTGCTATCAACAAGGACTCTACGGCGAAACCGCTTATTTCGTACATGCATTTCAACACTGGACACGAATATACCGGCAAACGGATAAGAAACACGGACACCAATTTAGCGGAGTTCATCACCAACATGGCGGCGTTACCTGACACTCTTACAATGATATTTTCTGACCACGGTAATAAAAACACTTATTACAGTCAACACTCAGAGGAAGGAAGAAGAGAAGTGTTTGATCCTGTTTTTTTCATGGTTATTCCCGATGGCGTTGAAAAAATACTGGGCAAGGAAAGGATGACTGCCTTAGTTAAAAATCAAAGACGCCTCTTTACATTTCTCGATGTACACCGTGCGCTTATGAGTTTAAAGGACCCTGTTAAGATGTTCTCCCGGAATACTTCATTGGCTGGTATATTTGCAGTCCTACCGGAAAATCGCACATGCGCAAACTTAAGCTTGATGCCGCTGACCTTGTGCAAGTGCGAGGACTTTGACAGATATAATTCGGTTAAAGATAACTCAGACAGTCATAAGTGGTTAGCGGAGTTCGCGCTTGGAACCTTAAACAATGCCATTCAAAAACAATATATGGGAGGTAAGAAGGGTGTCGGATAACTTGACTGGGTTCGCAGCTTTAAAGAAGTACTTTCCCTTTTTTTTCTCGTTTTCTCACGATTTAAAGTCATGATCAATTGTAGGCCAGGCCATCAATTGAAGATCGCTACCTGAGCGATAAGGTTCAGCCTAAGGGTTTATTAAGTTACACTCCTAAGGTTACAAGTCAGTCTGAAGTTAAGAAATCATCAGAACATCACTTTCGCGCATCACATATATACACTGTACTCAGCATATTTCTTGGTTTACCCACGAGTTCTCTACCGGCAGCTGGTAGGACATTTGATTGTCCTATCGGAAAGTCTCACACTCAAATCCTCTTTGGTGACCCACGTATTTTCTTTTCCTAGGCTGCTAACAAATAGTTCACGCCTTTTTTTTTTAATCACCGCCCTGGTTCGACGAAATAGAATACGCCGTCATTATCGATGTCTTTTTAATGTTAATTTTTATTCTTCCTAAAGGTGATGATGGTGGGCAGTTATTATCGATTCTAAAAGAGGGATACGGAAATTGCCAACGATTGGTGGGAAAATCGTTCACAAATATTGTGCAACGGGCCCAAGGAGAGTACATCACCACCACAATGAACATTAACGTGATCCCCCCACCCGGATACAACGAGGACGAAGTTTTCAAGGTTTCTGTCAAACAGTATGCTCAAGCGGAAGACAAATTGTGGTTGACTAGCTTTGTGCGGGTGTCCAAGTACAGCAAGTTTGAATCATGCGCAGATAAATCGGTGGATATTAAACTCTGTGCATGCGCCAAACAGGAAACCACTGAACCCATAAACAGTGGACAAAAACGTGCGAAAGAGGTCCCGAACAAAATGTTTGCCTCAACGACTATTGTGAAAGATCTGCACTCAGGCTGTCTCTTATTCTTGAGACGAAATCATCGAACGTTTTCTCTTGCGCTGGAAGTAACGAATGTGTGTTTTGATCGAACCTACAAGTTTGAGCTATCTGGCTCGTCCGGTGAAAGAGTGTATTCTATAATCTTACCAATTTATCTCGAATTAGCTCCGAAAACTTTTTACTTCTTGACCTCCGTTAATAGGTACACTTCTAAAGACAATTACCCTCTGAATTTTTACGCAGATATAAAAGTTAAATACGCCAATTTCGACAAGTTTAAGGATTTGGGAAAAATCGACGTTTCATGAATCTAAAAAAATTTTTGATGTAAATCAACAAAATACTTGTTTTAAATTGTTTTGTTATTGTAGAATATAGTACTTCACATCCTGATTCTCTGTCAGACTTGGACCAGAGCAATTTTGTTTGATTCCTTGATGGGTTACCGTCAGTCTTTTTAAGACTAAAGGAGTGAAAGTGAGAGAAATGATGATGCCGAGGGAACTTGTACTTCCGCCTCCATAAATAAGTACTGAAACTGTTTTTGAGTTATCTATTACTTAAATATCTTTCAGAATAATGAGAATTTTTACTAAACTGACTAATTGGAATTGAAGTCCGATAATTCCTTACTAACGAGTTGTCTTTTTGTCTCAGTAAAATTTACCTGACCCCACTCTAGTTGTATTGTAATGACCCCCTCGTTGGCAGTTAATTTCCTTTGGTCCCCCTTTATACTCTTTTAGCGCGACTGATTCCCCCTCCCTTCCCCACTTAATGAAAAGTATGTCAGTGATCCCTCTGAAAATTCTCCTCCTTTCCTCCCCTGCTCAGGCGACAAATAAAAAACAAACTGTCCCCTTATATATAACAGAATGTGGCGGTTAGGTGCTAAGTCCGATTTAAATCAAAAGTGCGTTTTCTAGTAATTTTTTTAAATGTCATTATTTGCAATTAATCTCAAGTTAAAAAGCGGAACTTCTAAACAAAGGCACTCTTTTTTTTCTTTTAAAAAAAAATACCTAGTACGACTCTGATAGATAATATTTTTGCTCAATATCCACAGTAACCACATGGCTTCTGTGGAAAGAGTTTATAGACCACCACTCGTAGAATATCCAAAGCTGACTGGCTAATACTGAGTAGGGCCCAGAATGTTCGTGAATAGTCCAGAATGTTCTGGGCTAATAAATACTCAGTGTCACTGGAGCTGTAGTCTTCCGGAACGATCTCCTGCAGTAATACGTACGCAATCGCTATATTTAGAGTAGGATTTGTCCCTTCTTATCGCAGGTTCTAGAGACGTGTTGCGTAATCATCAGAATCCTAGAAGACTTCTACACTTTGCTCAATTTACTGGCTTGAAAGTGAAAGCTGTCAATTCTGCGGTCAATGTCACAAGGATCTGAGTAGCTTCAGTTATCGAAGTGGACAAGAAGGCACACTTGAGTAATTTTTCTTTCCACATGACAACAGTGTAGATGTCAAGATATCAACAGGGTAGCTTTGATCAGTTCACAGAAGGAAAGTGTATGGCTACCGAGGAAACAAAGACGCCGGGATTGCTTGCGACAGGTGGAGGAGAAGCTGAGAATGGTACTGAAATTAGAAATAAGCATTACAATATTATATGCATGTGTTTTATATTCGCCATTTGCTTTTTGTTGTACTTCCGCGGTGTGTCTGAATACCACTTGCGTTTAGTTTTTAAGTGTAGTCCTTTAGTTCTGCAAAGCAATTATTGCTTTTCCTCCTTTACTGGCAAAACTTAAATCGTACAATAGCTATTTAACGTTTAAAATTTTGGATGTCGTTGTGGACGCCTGCCATCGTTAAGTGTTAAATTTGTGCTGTTAATTTCCATTTAACCGGTTTTGCAGTTGACACTAAAGCTTTAGACAAATCGTGATGCTAGTTCAGTTGTCAACGTGTGGTTAACATGCGAAATATTTGCAATCCTCGATACGATCTGATAATATAGAGAAATATCAACAAAGCATAAATTCAAATATGTTCCGCAGTGGTGGTTTTACTAGTGGGAAAAATGAATGGACAGAAGAAGAACGGAAATTTACTTAGTCGTTTTTGAGTTTTAAATAGCAGAATTTTTCTTAAGGTCAGGAGAGAAGCAGCCCTAGTTTGACTTTTGATCAATTTGCTGTTCCTTCGAATTCATTGTGAAGAACAGAATCGAGATGAGCAGATAATCGACCGTAAATAAGGTCACAAAAATCTTGCTCTTCAGATTGTTATCGAGTCTGTTAATTCAGACTTAATGCGAATTAAGGAAGCTGAACACATGTTAAATAGGAATCCTCCAACTTCATGCAAACCAGAAATGGCGACATAACGATCACTTAAAAGATAGACAATTGAGTATTAGGGCGAACTACAAACCAATTAAATGAGAGTCTATTTTTGCCGAATGACTTTCGTATACGTCATATTAAAATTACCATAATCGAATGTTTCCGGTGTCAGGCTGCAGTGGTTGACTATGACGCACAGAAAGCCCCAAAACAAGGAAACGATTCAACCACGCGGCAAGAGTTGATCGTCATCCACGGACCGCAATGCCTCATGTAATTAATTGTTAAAACTAAATGCAATTGAAACATTTATTTATACTAAAAATCTAATATATTTTTGAGCACACAGGAGACATCATCGACCTAAGGACCTCTGTGGTGACTGAACTGCAGCTTTCAGACATAAGTGATGACGTAGGTACTTGCTGGCGTGAGCTGGGACCAAAGCTTGATATCCCTTCAGCAAAGATCCAAAACCTGGATAACGATTATTACTGTAGTCGCGACAAAGCAAACGCCTTACTCCTCATGTGGAAACAGAAAGAAGGGAGCAGTGCAGTGGCAGGGCGTCTAGCGGATGCTTTAGCAAGCATTGAGAAAAAATGCATAGCAGAAAAGCTTCTTGGTGAGTAGGTATACCCGGTAAGATGAGTGAGTGGCTTATGAAGACTGCTTCTGTAATGCGTATACAACTGACAAGATACCCAATTTCTAAATTTATTTAATGAAGAAAAAAACTATCATGATGAATAGCTAAATTGCTACCTTGTTACACAACAATGGGTTTTTCCGTGGTTTTCAAGTCTTATCTTAACAAAAAAAGGGGTTTGGGTTATTTCTCCCAATACCCTTCCTCCTTGAGTGTGTTAAGGATATATCTCCCCATAACTTACGCAAATTTATTATAATTCAATTGTGTTTACTTACTTTTACTTACCATTATCTCAACTCTACACCTACCGATAAATAAGAACGCGCTTACTCTAACAGGGATTTTGCAATTCTTGATACAGCAATTTTCAACTGAGTATAGAAAGCAATCCTGGATCGCGTTGCTCTTGATCACCTTTGCTCTTTGATTGGCTAAGGAAACTCGCACTCAAACTCTAGACCAATAAAACCAAGAGTAAAACTAATCGCGACTTGAACATTCATGCACCTTTTCCCGCGCTTGAAGTAGCTTGTTTTTCATTTTGAGATTGTATTGGATACCTATGCTATCTGCTTTTGTCCTAATTGGCAATTAGTACAAGTTTTGTAGCTCAATAAATTATCCAGCTACCCTATTATCCTCATTGTGCGTACGTGTTATCATTGAAAATTCCAACTAGGCTGTTTGGTGGCTAAAGTAAGAGATTACATCCTTGCAAGGAAAAAAATAATTTTCCTACGGCAAACATTCTAAATGGTGACATTAGTTTACTGGTCTCCTTTGGTTTGCCTAGAGTACCATCAACATTCATGATCAGTTTGGCTGTTTATTACTTGGAAATATCTTCTGACTTCTCATAATTTACTTTTACAACATTTATTATCAGGAGTGGATCATGGAAAATTGCCGATGTGTAGAAACATTCCCAAGGGTCACGTTATCAGTTTAACAGTTATTCATGACCTGGGTGTGGGGCTTGATAAGGTTAGTAGCTAACAACACGTTTTCTACCATAACTACTGAAAGATATAATTTTCACAAGAACCACATACATATTTTGTTACCCGAAAGTTATAATCCACTTCCTCCAAGCTGATGAGTGGTACGTCTGCCCTCGACTCCTCCAGAGCTAATCGCTTTCGGTTTTTTTTTTGAAAAGTATGAAATCTAGATCAGCATTGGATCAGAATTATTACTCAGACGGATTTCCACCAGTTTGTAGACATATATACAATTTATTATCAATTGCTTTTTAAAAGTAAAATATCAAACTTACCGTAGTTGAGCGAAAATTTTCATAAAACTAGTTCATATTTGTTTACAATAAACTATTTCTCCCTTTTTCTAGAGTTTGGTGTGCGAAGATGCGCAAGGAAATAAATTCATGGTAAAGGCATTCAATAGCAGTGGAAATTTTTTAAAATTGGAAGAGGTAACTTCTCCACTTTTCCCATTTATCCAAGGACCGGACCAGAAGCCTCCTCAAGTGTGTCATTTTTTCTCTTGGTTTATGGACTTTTCTGCCAGTTTCAAGGAACATATATACAAGTCAGAAGCTTGCTCACCACTATTACAACCAAAAGCAGTTCAATCTCTTCCATTCTCCTTAGGAGACGTCGGATGAGTGTTATTAGTGTATAATTTTTTAGCTCATTTGCCGAACATAAGTCCTTTCAAGGAGCTGTGGTTAATGGTTATGTTTATGACACGAAAAACCATATATTCTTCGAGACTCAAATTCTTTTTTGTCTGAAAATGTGTCAAACTTAGTTCATGAGTTTGCTGGAAAGCTTACAGAAGGTCATAGACAGATCCAGAATGATGGTATCCAATTTCGCTGAATAGTTAACAAAGGTATACATCAGGCTGTGTATAAAAACAGTACAAAATAAAATAACCTTTTCAAATTTCTATTTGCAAAATTCGTCAAATTCAGACGCTGCGATCCAAATCTTTCTTCGCCTGCACAAACCAAATTCTACTGTTTTCCATCCCTATGTCACGTTTTGTCTCAAAGTCGCTCAAGCAATATTTGCATTATAATGCGATGTTCACTTGACATGCTTCTTTCGCTTGCATCTGATAACAACCTGAAATTATGGATAAACGACAGTAAATTTCGCGAGTTTTCTTTCGCCAGAAAAACACATGATTATTTTCGCTAGCTTAAGTTTTGTTACTGACTGATCCCGCCGCCAATGCCCATACAAGATAATTCAATTTAATACATCAGCCAATAAACCTAATCTGTTCCCGTGGTTCTTGTTTTACATCGGATCGTAAACAATCGAAGCGATGTACAGTGCTGGGTTTGTGCTTGAACCCGAGATTTTATTTTCAATCGAAAGGTGCCATTTAAAGCAATGATGCTATAAACTGTAACAAGCCTCTTTGTCGTTTATGCGCGGTTACTTTTCCATCGGGCTCGGGCAAGTTCGGGACGACTAGTTAACTAGAACGGTTCGCGAGTGAGTGACTCGTTTGCATATCGGAACCTCCACAAAATCTTGTTTCTACCCTTCGCGTAAAACGAGTCAGAAATGATCATTTGGAAAAAATCACTCTGTGATTTAGGGTAGATCTCTGAAAATGATGTTGTGGTTTTGATCAAATGTTCCATCCTCTTTACTTCATTTGTTTTAGCAGACACTTTTGAGTAGGAGGTTCTTAGAGACTGTTGTTGACGAAAAGAAGGAAAGCCTAAAGCGACATATTTCAGCACAACTTCAGGACCAGAGGCTCCAAATGAAGAAAGAGCAACCAGCTCGTGGAGATGTAAATATGAGGAGGAAGAGGATTCAACAAATGATGAAAGCGTGGAGCAATCGCTTCTGTAATGTGAGAAACATCGCAACATTTGTCTGAGGATTTTTAAGGCTTTTATTGAGCTGACTGCCGAGGTTGGACGCCTGGAAATGAGGGCCATTATAATACACTCAATATTTCATCGTCGTTTGCATACGGTTTAAATTGCCCGATTGCTTCTTTTGAGTGTTGTACCCCCGAAGAATCCTTCGCCATATAACCGAGTGCAAACCATTAATTTGTTTTTATTGATCAAAGCAATTTACTCTCAACAGGATAGTCATCGTGAAATACGAAGGGCAGTCACTAAATATGATAAGCTTTTAAAATTCAGTGTTATTTTCGTTTTGCAGAAACCCAGACATTTTTCAGAAAGCGACCCACCAAAAGGGATTGGATCGAAGGTATGATATAGTCGTTATTAAAATACAACCATCAATCGAAGAAAGTAAGAAAAAATCTGAAAAATTTGGGTTGTCTTTTCCTCAGGAAGAGAAGCACGGAAATAACTTTTTTATGACCTAACGACGCAAACTATGCTAGAACTAGGAAGGAAATTGATTTGAACATGAACAATCTATTATTTATCTCAGACATTAAAGTTTAAATTCAGGATATTAAGCTCGTGGAGGCGACTTTGTGTACTTACCTAACCCTAAGTAATATCATTTAATTTCATAGGTATTCATAAAGCCTTGTCGTAATCCATGTAAAATCTTCTTCTTCATTTTGTTTGTTGTCATCTCTTTATATTTTCTTGGTTGCACTATGATTATTATATCTCCCTTAGAAGACAAGAATGAAAATAAATTCTAACGAAGCTAATGACTCTGTTTTTTTATTACTTTGTTTTTATCTCATGGTTCAAGAATCCCTTGTTGAGGTTGAGATCGGGAGATAAAGAAGCTTGCGTCCTCCTGTCAATCTCAAAACCCTCCAGCGATGAAGAATATCAAACCAAAGATTCGGGAGCAGGAAAAAAACACAGAAGAACTCATCATTGTTTACAAAAAAAAAATTGATTAGCATAATCTCTTTTAGAAGACGCCCTCTGCGAAAGGCAAATTTAAACAGACGAATTTGCCTTTCTGGCTTTAGTTGTATTTAGCCGATCAGCTTTCAATATTTTCTTTGGATAATAGGAGTGTTCGAGGATTCACGATACCTCGAGATAGAACTCTTGTCTAATTTGATGGTGAAGTGCTATTTCTCGATTATCCAATGCAATTTCATTTTGAGACATTACAAGTGTCTCCAATTAGCTCTATTAGCGAAAAAGAAGAGGCAGAATGCAAAATTTCGCCATATTTGCTCCTTAGTATAACTGTAGCCAGTTTGAATGTAAGACGTAATAGCGAACATGAATGGATATCGCACCTATACAAAAAGGGAAATTTGGATGGTGATTAGCGGACTGTGATTAGTTATAATTTGACGGAATATCTCAGTGTAAGGGGGCCTTTTTCGGTGAGAATCTTGATCGCTTGTTATTTTCCGAGTGGGATCTGTTTCAACCCAGATCATGTCTTAAAGGCATACAACTCTCTTGAGATCGATTTTGTTACTATACAATCAAGTATCTCTCATCCTGATATTGAGTCAGACGTGGTCCTGAGCAATTTTGTTCAATTCCTCGATGGTTTTACCGTCAGTCTTTAAAGATTTAAGGAGTGAAGGTGAGACAAACGATGATACCAAGGAAACTTGTACTTCCGCCTCGATAAACAAGCAATGAAACCGTTTTTGCGTTATCTATTGCTGAAAGATCCTTCATAGTATTGACAGTTTTTTACAAAATTGACCAGTTGGATTTGGTGAGTCCTATAATTCCATAATCAGGGGCCAGATATTATCTGTCAACTGGTCTCAGTAAAATTAACCCGACCCCACCCTGGTAGTATTCTGATGATCCTCCTCATTGACAGTTGATTTTCCAAAGTCCTCCCTTTATACTCTGTTAGAGCGACTGATACCCTCTCCCTTCCCCACTTGATTAAAAGTGTGTGCCCCCCTCCGCTCAGGCGATAAATAAATAGAGAATAATAACTGGGTACGCTTAGATATGGAATTTCTCTTCGAGTGTTTAACTCGATAACGCACGAGTGAGCGCCGCGAACAAGTGAGATGTCGAGTTGAACACAAGAAGAATAAGTCCATATCTACAAGCAACCATGTATTATTTTGTTTATCATATAAACACAACAGCCCTTTACTGACAATGAAAAGTCAACTTTATTAAGGAATTAAAATAAAAGGATCGACAATCCTGAATAAAAATCGTAAAGTGCGTTGGCGCTAAGACTCAACATGAAAAAATATGTTGGAACACTACAAAACAAACCATAGACAATTTCCAATATACAAAATTTTCAGTTATTGACCTGGTTCTTACCGACAGAAGAAATATTTTAGATACACGGCCAAAATCGGCCTGTGATAAATCTCTCAGTTGTCATTTTCACTCTCAGCCACGAGAATGCTATCACCAACTGAAAACCACTGAAAACGTAACGTTTGGTTTTTCTTTCCGTATTTTGGTTTTCTTCCCTTTCTAGGCAAGTTTGAAAGTTACTGTTTGTAAGCGATGAGGATTTTTCAGTGTTTTGGCAGCCATAATCCGAAAAAATTCTCTCAAACTACCTTGTATTGAGAATCGTGAAGGCTATGCCATTCATTCATCAACCTGACTAAGTGGCGCGAAAGGCGAGTGACGGGAGCTGATTGGCGATATCAAACACGTGAAAAAATAAGACATTTTTACACGTGTGTTGTTACGGCTTTAACAGGGCGAGAAATCCTTGAATAATAGCGTAGTTTATGTGATAATTTCTTTTCCATTATTCATAACAGAATGTGGTGTCTTAAGTCCGATTTGTATCCAAGGAAAAGTGGGTTTTCCGATGACTTCTTAACTCTTATTATTTACATTTAGCCCCAAGTTAAAAAGCGGACCCTCTTACCCAAATTCTAAAAAAAAAAAGAAAAACATCTAGTACGACACCGGTAGATGATATTTTTGCTCATATATTGAAAGGAACCATACGGCCTCTGTGACAAGATTTTACATATTGCTGCTCACAGAATATCCAAGCTGACAGAATGTTCGTGAGTTTACTGCATGGGTCTGGACCTGCATCCATCCGGAACGACCTCGGTGCACCGATATTAATTTAAGTAATGTGATTTTTCCCTTTTCATCCCAAGACGTGGCTTTTCCGTGTTTTTTAAGTGAAAAGTCGTCCAAGTGAACGAGAGGCTACACATAGTCAAACAATTGAGTAATATTTATGTCCTCGGATAAACATTGAAGCTGTAATCAGTTCACAGAGGGAAGTAAAGTTTTATTTAGGAAGCAAGTCCTATGGCTACCGAAACGTCAACATTGCCTGCGACAAGCGGAAGAGCAGCTGAGAATTGTATTGAAATTAGAAGTAAGCTTTCAAAATATTATATGTACGTGGTAAATATATGACTATTTAGTTCAGTTCAGTCTCGGTAGCTTGTCATAATATTACTTGTGTTCAGTTTTAAGTCTCATCCTTTTGTTCTACAATTGTACGTTTTTCTCTACAGGACAGGCAAAGCTTAATCGATCATGTAACAGTAATTTAACTTTCAAATATTTTTGGCAGTCTTCGCTGCAGGTGCTTGTCATCTAAAAGTGGTTAATCTGCGTTGTTTAATTATCATATAACCGCTATTTTAATTACCTCATCGCTCTATATATCTCGTGGTTTTAGTTTAGTTGTCCTCGTGTAATTTGTATGCGAGATTGTTGCCGACTTGATTTCAGCGTTGATAATCCAGAGCGATATTTACAATGTATAAGGTTAAGATATGTTCCGCTATAATGATTTTAGCGTGGGAAAGATAAAGGGAACGGAGCAAGAATGGACATGTTAGACGTCGAATTGGCTCCGTTTACATGCTGCTCCTTTTTTGAAGATCAGGATGGAAGCAGCAGCGGTTAGAATTTTAACCAATTTGCTGTTCCTTATTTGTAAAGGACAGAATCTCGATGAGTAGATTATGACGTCAATGGCACCAAAAATATAAGTTTGACAATAAACCGCATATAATATTATGGAGATTTTGTAATCTGTTCATTCCATCTTAATGCGAATGAAATGGGTGCCAAACTTTTGTTAACTAGGAACACTCTGATTACCTGCAAAACAGAAATTCCAATAAAATAATCACGTATCAGATTGATGTTTGAGACTTTAGGCATGATGTTTTCGACGAACAACAAACAGGAAACTGAAATTATGCCTGTACACTTCAGGCCGTTAGCGTCATCAAATAAACGTTTGGCTTTTTTCCGCTATGATTTTTTGCTTGAATCCAGGATTTTAGAAAAAGTGAGTCAAATCATAATTAATTTTAGCCGAATGACGGCGCCATATATCCATTATCTTTGCTGCGTATTTTTGTCAAGCTTCAGTGGTTGACCATGGCAATTGTAAGATCTTGTTATAAATATAACCAAAGACATGCGTGACGTTTGAAAGAGTTTAAGCAATATTCAGATAGCGGTTGAAGATATATGAAATGAAAATCTGATGTTACTAATACTGATGACGCTTCTGTAAACCAGAAGTATCCGAAATAAAAAATCAGCTCCCCAAAAAATGAACTCGACCGAATAAAGGTCGAGAGTTAGATTCCTTCAAGGCTGAATAACTTAGTGTTATTTCTTAGTAAAATTAATTTAGAAATTGTTTAAAACTGGGTAGCGTGGTGTGACTCAATGATGCAAAGATGACTGTCAATTAATTTGAATACAGAGAATCATTTACTAACAAAGCCCTAATGCATCATCACTCAAGTAACCTATATATACCTGTTTGGCTGTTTAGAATTAACCATACTAAACATAAGCCTAACCCCCCTTTATGTTGTTACTGTCCAGTTAACACCAGATACGTTTTCTACTCCAGGGCAAGAAGAAGACCTCACTAAATTTCAACTAGGATGATTCTCGTAATCCATGCAATGTTAAAAACTACACCCAATTAAAACATTAAATTAGCTAAGAGTCTAATATCCCTTTGTGCACGCAAAAGACTTCAACAGCCAAAGGACCTCCGTGGTGACAGAACTGCAGATTTCAGATGTAAGTGATGACGTAGGTACTTGCTGGCGTGAGCTGGGACCAAAGCTTGATATCCCTTCAGCAAAGATCCAAAACCTGGATAACGATTACTGTTGTAGTCGCGACAAAGCAAACGCCTTACTCCTCATGTGGCAACAGAAAGAAGGGAGCAGTGCAGTGGCAGGGCGTTTAGCGGATGCTTTAGAAAGCATTGGGAAAAAATGCATAGCAGAAAAGCTTCTTGGTAAGTAGGTATAACTGGTAAGATGAGTGAATGGTCTACGTATACAACTGACAAGCTGAAAGAATAAACACACAAAGAAGTCATAAAACAGTTGACATTTTTAACGTATAACGCAGTCGTGGAGCTTTCCGTAGTTTCCTTTTCTTGTCTTAACATAAAGGCGGACTAGGATAGTTCTCCCAATACTCTCCCCCCCCCCCCCTTGAGGAGGAGGCTGCTCTCGTGAATCAAAACGCTTTTACTCGTCCTTATCTCAACACACCTAATGATCAATCAGAGCGCGCCCATTATTTAAGGGATTTTGTCAATTCTTAATAGAGTAATTGACAACTTGGTGTAAAACGCGATCCTGGATTGCGTTGCTTCGCACCAAATACTCTTTCAAGTGATCATCAAATTCAAAACTAGAATCAAAGGTAACTTGTAGACCTGCACTTCAAGTATTTTGCTTGTTTATGCTTAGTGCTCTCATTGGCTCCTAACCAGTGACATTTGCTTTTGTCCTAGTTGGCATTTAGTACAACTTTGGGTTCGGTGTTACGAAAACCGTGAATTGTCCAGCTATTTTATTATTCGGATTGTCTGCACTTATAAGGGTTGCTTAGTTAAGAAATTGCTTTCCTGGAAGGAATAAAAATCTTTCGCTGCAAATATTCTAAATGGTGACATTTAGTTTGCTGGTATAGTTTGTTCCATGGGTGGTAGGGAGGTTGTCCTGGTGGGGAACATGAAGCATTAAACTGATCGACGCAGAACTCTGAACTTATAATAATTTCCTATCAACACACTAGGAGTGGATTACGCGAAAATGTTGAGGTGTGGAAACATTCCTAAGGGTCACGTCATTAGTTTAACAGTTATTCATGACCTGGGTGAAGAGCTTAATAAGGTAAGTAGTTGACAATACGCTTTCTACAAAAACTACTGAAAAGTTGATGATTAGCACGTCTGCCCCACACCTCGTGAACAAAAGGATGAAACTGGACCAGCGGTAAACCAGAAAAATCACTTAGATGGATTTTGTCATTCTCTGGGCATAGTTTTACTACCAAATAATCTCAAGTAAAATAATGAAATTGCTTCGAAATTGTTTGCAATCAACTATTTGTATTTTTTTTAGCTTATGGTGTGCGAAGATGCACAGGGAAATAAATTCATGGTTAAAGAATTCAACAGCAGTGACAATTTTTTGAAATTGGAAGAGGTAACTTCTTTACTTATCCCATCTATCCAATTAGAATTTTTCGATGAGTATTTAGAAAAATGCACCCTGCGATTCAAGGTTTAGCTTCGAAAATTATGTCATAGTTTTTATTGACCCATTTGTCTTTCATTTGCTTTAACAGACGCTTGTAAGCAAGGGATTTTTAGAAACTGTTGTTTTAGCCAGACAGGAAAGTCTAAAGCGCTATATTTCATCGGAGCTTCAGGACCTGAGACTCCAAATGAATAAAGAGCAACTGGCTTGTGGAAATGTTGATAAAACAGATGGGATTCAAGATGCCTCTAAAGACAAAGCAGAGCCCACAAGCAGCTTATTGAATGAGGAAGCGGATCCGTCAAACAATGAAAGCGTGGGAAAATTGCTACAGTCATGTGAAGAACATCGCAACTATTTTCAGAGAATGTTTGAAGCTCTTATCAAGCTGACTGCTCAGGTTGGGCAACAAAGTGAAGATAATGTTAATTGTATTAAAAAACTTTTAGACTTTACTACGGAACTCCAGCAAGAAGAAACAGCACTTTTCTCCAAAATAGAATTAGTAGGTACTCAGAGCCAACTCAAGGACGAGCAGCACACAAATCGTTTTGAGGAATTACATAAATGGAAAACGCATCATGCATTGCAATTGAAGGAAGTCGAAAAACTGCTGTTAGGACTGCTTCATCAAATGACAACTGAGAGAAAGACGAATTATAAAGGGAGGCTGGTAATTTCTAATAGAGTAACATTTTTCCACTTTAGTATTGGTAAGAACTTGATTTCGAGTGAAATTTGGTGTTAATAAACACGGGTAAATTTTTCAAAGACAGCAAAATTGCACGAGCCCGTAGGGCAAGTGCAATTTGTAGTCTAAAAAATTTACCCGTACTTACTAACACTACATTTCACTTGAAATCATGTTAGCGAGTGAGCGCGCGCTATTTTTAATTTGCACTCACGTCACTACTTTGCACTCGTGTTACACGAGAATGCACTCGTTTTCAGCCAATCAGAAGCGCAATATTTTTCTATGTACACAACTAATTCCTTAATATCACATGCAAATTGTAATTGGATTGTCAAAAGCTCAGTGGAGGAATTTTATAAAACAATTGATGTAGAGGGAAGAGAGAAACCCAGGTTTTTACGTCCAATTAACATGGTAAATGAAACTTTGTACGACAGACCAAGCGAGGGCCTTGGTAGACCATGATTGTTTGAAGTCTTATGTCAGTCTATAAGTTCCTAATAAAATTCTGCCTTAGATTTTTGTTTTATTGAACTCAAACGAGCAGGCAGAATCTTATCATCAATGATCCTTAAATCTTCTCCCCTTTTTGACTTTTCTGTTTGTGATGTTCTCTCGTATTTACATTTGTTCCTCCTTTTTTCCAAAGCCCTCTCACCAGAAAACTGAACTAGAAGGCCGATCAAAACCTCTGCCAGGATACGGAAGGAAGGTAAGGGAATTTGATTTAAATCTGAGATTATTAAAACACAGATCACTTAACTGAATCAAACTGCAGATATAAGTAATTGACTAAGCCAATATTCTTGGTCAATATGAGCAGTTATAATGCGCTATATATATCCATGTATGCAATCGATTAAAGTTGTCATTTTGTCTATGTCGACAGTAGCTAAATTTCTATGTTCAGATTTAAATTTATTTTTGTTTTGCAGAGTCCCAGACATTATTCAGAAGGCGACCTATCAAAAGAGACTAAAACGAAGGTATGATGCAGTCTTTATTCAAATACCACCATTAAACTAAAAACGTTAGAAAAAAAACGTTTGGGCTGTCTCCTCAAGAAGAGAAGCTTGAACAGAACTTTTCTATGACCCAAAACGCAAACTTGGTCAGTATTTGAAAGAAAGATCTTAACATGAACACGAGCAATTGGTTATTCATTTTAGACATCGAAGACGGTTTGCATGACATCGACGGCTTTGGGAGACGACCCTACGTACTTATTATTATAATTAAAAATTATCTCATACACAATTGTAAGAATAATATTATTACATTGTCTCCTTCATTGTGTTTGTTCTTTTCTTTTCTTTTTTCTTGATTGCACTATAATAGAGTTATCTCCCTCAGAAAACAAGATTGATAATGAATTCTTACAAACCTACTGACTCTTTTTTTTTTTGATTAATATCAGCATCTGGGCAACTGCCCACCTACCCCTCCCCTAACTCAACAACAGGTTAGGGGAGGGGCAGGTGGGCAGTTGCCCAGATACTGATATTGATCCTTTTTTTTTACTTTTTTTCTCCTCATGTTTCAAGAATCCCTTGTCTTGGCTGAGATCAGGAGACAAAGAAGCTTGCGTCCTCCTGTCAATCTCAAAACCATCCAACGATGAAGAACATCAAACAATAGATTCGGGAGCAAGAGATAACACAAATAAATTAATGGCCTGACATTGTTTACGATGAAAAAGTTGTTTAGAATAACCTCGTTTAAGGAAGCCCTCTTCGATATTGAAAGGAGCACACGAACATCTTTCATTTTGTTGATCACACATTTCATTGTGACTCGATTGTGCGAAAATATTTAATAAAAAATATTTTTATTTCAAACTGACACAATTTAAGAAAATAAGAATCTACAGTAACTGATTGTAGAAAGTCCTTGTTCGCCTTGTTATAAAGGTGAATTAGCTTTTTTGCCAAAATTATAGTTGCCAAGTTGAATATGAAAAAAAATTCGTTAGCACTCTTTTGTTGATCAGCTTCCAGTATTTCCTTTAAATTATGGGAGTGTTTGAGGATTCACAATACATGAAGATAGAACTCTTGTATACTTAGATGGTGATTTCTATTTCTTATCTTTCTTGGTTATCAATTACATTTTGATTCCATTACGCGTTTCTCAAACTTGCTTTATTATAATTACTATCTTCACACTTGAACAAAGTTCATAGAGGTATGTGTGAACGCAAATTCAAATTTTTTCGTACTCTTAAAATGAAAAAAAAGTGTTGTTCGTGTTCTCTCCTGATTTCGATTACATATTATTACAACACCTCAGTAACCATCATAAATCTGGTTTTAAAACAACTTGATTCGCTCCTGTGATTGAAGGGGCGACTTTAATTTGAAGATTTCATCACTAACTGATTTTCGCGTACATGGAAGAAGAAGTGGTCAACTTAAAAATTAAATTAATACAGCAAAGAAGGTTATTGCACATGTCAATTTCAGTTGAAGTGACGGGCAAATATTATACTTACAATTTTATGTTCTATATGCGACTAGTAAGCTTCGATGTGCGATCGGTGGTGACACTTGAAATGTAAGTTGCGTAACGAACTTTTAGGTTTTTAAATAACTAGTCACCTGATCTGTTTTTGGCACGTAGCGCTAAGATAATTAAATATTCACAAGAAAAAAAAATGACAAACGGCTTGAAAAATGCAAATCACAACTTCTTATTGAAGTTTACATCATTGGCAGAAAAAACATCGCAAGGGACTCGGAGATGGAAAAAAGTTACAAGTTTGATGCGATCTTAGCTAATTTTTACATGTAGAGGTGAGCTGCCGCTCTACAAACAATATTAGCTTGTACAATGAAGATTTCATGTCTTTTACACCACTTACTTTTTTTTCGGTTTTTGATTTGTTTCCTATTTAAGATTTCATTTTTCTGAAGTTAATCAATTTAAAAAAAAAAATAGGATAATTTTGTGTGTGTCCAGAGCTCTTCGATTGATCATAAATCGGTGCTGAGGCGCTGCCGACCGAGAAGATTGATGGGCTCTGGGAATGAGAATGCTCTAAAATATTAATGAATTTTAAAACTTTGATTTACTTTGTGTGAAGAGTGAAAGATGAAAATCCTGTGTTTTCTTGAATAAGCGCTCTCGCGCGAATAGGAGCCCTCCCCCGAAAAAGCCCCACCTCCTAGGCCAAAATGTTAATTAAGCGTCCCCCCCACGTAAGCGCCCCTCCCCCCCTCACTTTCTCAAATTAGTAGGAATACAAGGAAAAGTTGTTTTTGTTTTCAATTTATTTACAACGTTTTAATTCTCAACTACAGCGGAATCAAATACAAAAACATAGTTTCTTTTTGTTAACTTACTTCCATTTATTTCTATCTCCACGTGCTTTAAGAGATCCTTTATATGCATTATCTTTTTATTTAATTTTAGCCCTATTACCGCGCTCTCGGTAAATGCCGTAAGCTTCCCAGTCACAATTCTTCGAGGACCGTTAGTTTGTACGATTATGAAGTTATTGGGATTTTTTTAAAGAAAACAGTTTACAAGGAATAAAAACTCAATCAAAATGTGTGACCAACAAGCTTTTAAGTGTCAGCTCCATGGACATGGTTCACATTGTAAGTTCCAATGGCATTGTCGCTATACAATTTTTCACAAAATTGACCACTGAGCTGGTGTCGGTAAGTCCTATAATTTAGAAAGGTCATCATTTGTCTCTTTGTCACAATTAAATTCACCTGATCTTTTGGCGACCACTTATCCCCCTTCCGGTCCCCACTTGATGAAAATTCCTCTCACCCCTACCCTCCCTCCTGCCCAATGTGACTGGTCCCTTACTAATAAAAAATGCGGCATTTACGTTCTAAGTCCGATTTATGTCCAAAGAAAAATGGGTTTTCTGATCACTCAAGAGTCATTATTTGCACTTAATCTTTGATTAAAAGCGGTGACTTTTTCCAACAATGACTAAGAAGAAAATATAACACGGCACTTATATATGATATTTAGCTTAAGTTTGAGAGGAAAGGTACAGCTTTTGTGAGAAGAGTTTATAGACCGCCACTTATAGAATATCCAAAGCCGCCGACTGGCAATAATGCCTCTGGGCCCGCGTCTAAGAAGCTCGCGATCGTTATATTTCGTACTAGCATTTTTTCCTCTTTTCATGGCAAGACGTGGCATTTCGGTGTTTTTGTAAATATCAGATTAACATCCACGAGGGGTGAACCGCAGTAATCTGCGATAATTAACCTGCAGAGCAGGCGTAATTTTCGGGGGCAAGTGCTCAGTATTATCTTGGTAAAAACTTTTAGCTGTCATATTTGATTTTACGGCAGCGCAAGGCTGGGGAGAGAAAAAATTTGTACCAAGGGAGTGAGTGACGGGTAAAAATAAGGAGAGGGAGGGATGGGACTATGAATACTTCCGCCTTATCCCGCCCCCTCCCCCCGCTGTCGACTCTCTAAATCATGCATGGTCGGTACACACGATCGATTACACGATCGAGCTAGAGCTTCTTAACGTTAACTCGCTCTAATGAGACGCCTGCCCTGCAAGTTATGTTACACTTTGTCGTATTTACTGGCTTGAAAGCGAATGCTGTCAGTTCTGTCAATATCACCACAAGGATCCGAGTAGCTTTAGTTGTTCAAGTTAACGAGAAGGCAAGCTTATTCAAAAACTTGAATAATATTTATTCGCTTGTGACAAGATGTGTTTGAAAATATTGTCGAAAATGGCCTTTTGGTGAACATTGAAGCTTTGATCAGTTTACAGAGGGATAGTAAAGTTTTATTGAGGAAACAACAAGAAGAAAGAGAAGAGAAACAAGTCCTATGGCTTCCGAGGAAACAAAGACGCCGACATTGCCAGTGACAAGCGGAATAGAAGCGGAGAATGCTATTGAAATTAAAAGTAAGCTTTCACAATATAATAAGCTATGTACGTGGTAAATATGTGACTATTTGGTTTAGTTCGGTCCCGGTAGCTTGTCATAATACTACTTGTGTTCAGTTTTTAAGGATCATCCTTTGGTTTCCTAGTGCACTTTTTCTGTATCGGCAAAGCTTGATAATGTGATCAATTATTTAACAGTAATTTAACATTTAAATTTTTTTGGGACTCTTCGTGGGTGCTTGTCATCGATCTTAAAGTGGTTAATCTGTTCTTTTTAAATTGTCATATAACCAGTCTTTTATTTAACCTTAAGGCGCTATGTATCTCGTGATGTTAGTTTGGTTGTCGATGTGCGATTTGTATGCCAGATTATTGCATTTGTGCGTTGATAATCCTGATTAATATTTACAATGTATAAGGTTAAAATATGTTCCGCTATAGCGATTTTAGAGACCAAAAAGACTGGGCAAGTACAAGCTCGAACTGGCTCCGCTTACACTGAGTTTTTCTTTTGCCGAGTTTATCATGCTGCTCCTTTTTTAAAGGTCAGGATGGAAGCAGCGCTGGTTAGAATTTTAACCAATTTGCTGTTCCTTATTTGTAAAGAAGAGAATCTCGATGAGAATATTATGACGTCAATGGCATAAAAAATATATGCTTGAAAATAAACCGCAGACAATATCATGTAACCGGCTCAGATTGTTTTCAAATCTGTTCATTTCATCTTTATGTGAATGAAATGAGAGCTAAACTTATGTTAACTAGGAACGCTCTGATTACCTGCAAAATAGAAATTCCAATAAAATAATCACGTATCAGATAGACATTTGGGAGTTTAGGCATAATGTTTTCGACGACTGAACAACAAACGGGAAGCTGAAATTATGCCTATCGTTGTACGTTTTAGGCCATTACTGTCATAAAGTAAACTTTTTCCCTTTGAATTGAACGAAAGATTTTCTGCCATTTTTTAAAGGTTTGATTCCAGAATTTTGGAAAAGGTGTGTTAAATCAGGGTTAATTTATGCCGAAAAACGGTTCTACATATCCATTATGTTTGCCGCACATTTACCCTGTGTCAAGCTTCAGTGGTTGGCTATGGCACTTGTAAGATCTTGTTACAAATATAACCAAGGAGATGCGTGACGTTTGAAAGAGTTTTAGCAACATCATTTGAAGTTATATTAGGCAAAATCCTGATATAAATAATATTAAACGAATATGGAAGCGATCCCCGCAATTATAAAAACTACTACTTGACAAGTGATGAAATAAGACCTGAAAAAAATATCCTTGCAGTTATGAACACTTCTTAAGTTGGCTTGTTAGCTCAGTTGGTAGGGCTTGCTACGGTATCGCAGAGGTCATGGGTTCAAATACCGTGCGGGCCTGAATTTTTTTCAGGCCTCGTTTTCACCACTACTTAATTAGTGTTCTTAACGGTGAGGATCGCTTCCATATACGTGTTTGGCTGTTTAGAGTTAACCATACTAAACAGAAGCTTTACCCCTTTACGTTCTTGCTATCCAATTAACACCGGGTTAGTTTTCTACTTCAGGGCAAGAGGAAAACCTCGTCAAATTTCAACTAGGATGGCTCACGTAATCCAATGTTAAAGACTACGCGTAATTGAAACATGAATTTAGCTATGAGTCTAATATCCCTTTGTGCACGCAGGAGACTTCAACGAACCAAGGACCTCTGTGGTGACAGAACTGCAGCTTTCAGACATTAGTGATGACGTAGGTAATTGCTGGCGTGAGCTGGGACCAAAGCTTGATATCTCTGCGGCAAAGATCCAAAACCTGGACGACGATTATCGCTGTAATCGCGGCAAAGCAAACGCCTTACTCCTCATGTGGAAACAGAAAGAAGGGAACAGTGCAGTGGCGGGGCGTTTAGCGGATGCTTTGGTAAGCATCGGAAAAAAGTGCATTGCAGAAATGCTTCTCGGTAAGTAGGTATACCTGGTAAGATGAGTGAATGGTCTGCGTATACAACTGACAAACTGAAAGAATAACTACACAAAGAGGTCTTAGAAAACAGTTGACATTGTTAACGAATAACGCAATCGAGGAGCTTTCCGTGGTTTCCCTTTCTCGTCTTAACATAAGAGCGGATTGGGATAGTTTTCCCAATAATATCCTCCCCCCCTTGAGGCTGCTATGAATAAATTTTTGTTAACGCATCCTTGAATCTAAAACCTTTTACTCATCCTTATCTCAACACACCTACTGATCAATCAGAGCACGCTTACTATTTCAGGGATTTTGCAATTCTTGATGGGGAAATTGACAACTTGGTGTAAAATACGATCCTGGATTGCGTTGCTTTACACCATGTTTTCTGTCCGATGGGCCCAGGAAACTCGCGCTACTCTTTCAACCTATCAAATCCAAGAATAACATCAAAGTTGACTTGTAGACCCGCACTTCAACTATTTTGCTTGTTTATGCTTTGTGCTCTTATTGGCTCCTGACCAGTGATATTTGGCTTTGTTATAATTAAAAGTTAGCAAAACTCTGGATTCGGTTTTACGAAAGCCGTGAATTGTCCGGCTACCCTATTAGCCCCATTGTCTGCACTTATAAGGGCTGCTAAGTTAAGAAATTGCCTTCCTGCAAGCAATAAAAATCTTTACATAACTGCAAATGTTCTAAATGGTGACATTTAGTTTGCTGGTACAGTTTGTTGCGGGGGTGGGTGGGGTGGAGGTTGTCGGGGGAAGAGATGAAGCATTGAACTGATCAACGCATAACACCTAACTCATAATTATTTCCTATCCACAAATATACTATTAGGAGTGGATAACACGAAAATGCTAAGGTGTGGAAACATTCCCAAGGGTCACGTTATCAGTTTAACAGTAATTCATGACCTGGGTGAAGGGCTTGATAAGGTGAGTAGATAACAACACGTTTTCTACAATAACTACTGAAAGATAAAATTTGAAAATAACCGCATGCAAATTTTGTTACAACACGGTTATAATCCATTTCCTTCAAAGTTGATGAATAGCACCTCTGCCTTGGACCCTCCAGAGCTAGAAGCTTGAATTTTTTTATTGTGATTAGGACTCGTGAACAAAAAGTTGAAACTTGGACCAGCGGTAAACCAGAAAAATCACTCCGATGGATTTTGCCAATCTTTGGACATAGTTTTAACACCAAATACTCTTTACAAGTAAAATAACAGAATAACTTCAAAATTGTCAGCAATAATATATTTGTCATTTTTTTAGCTTATGGTGTGCGAAGATGCGCAGGGAAATAAATTCATGGTTAAAGCATTCAACAGCAGAGACAATTTTTTGAAATTGGAAGAGGTAACTTCTTCACTTATCTCATTTATCCAATTAGAATGTTTCAATGAATATTTGGAAAAATGCACCCTGTGATTAAGGGTTTAACATAGTTTTAATTTACCTATTTTTATTTTATTTGTTTCAACAGACACTTGTGAGCAAGAGATTTTTAGAAACTGTTGTTGTGGCGAGACAGGAAAGTCTAAAGCGCTATATTTCATCGGAGCTTCAGGACCTGAGACTCCAAATGAAGAAAGGGCAACTGGCCTGTGGAAATGTTGATAAAACAGATACGATTCAAGATGCCTCTAAAGACAAAACAGAGCCCACGAGCAGCTTATTGAACGAGGAAGTGGATACGCCAAACGATGAAAGCGTGGAAAAATTGCTACAGTCATGTGAAGAACATCGCAACCATTTTCAGAATATGTTTGAAGCTCTTATCAAGCTGACTGCCGAGGCTGGGCAACAAAGTGAAGATGATGTTGATTGTGTTCAAAAACTTTTGGACTTTACTATGGAACTCCAGCAAAAAGGAATAACACTTTTCTCCAAAATCGAGTCGGTAGGTACTCAGAGCCAACTCAAGGACCAGCAGCACACAAATCGATTTGAGGATTTACACAAATGGAAAACGCAACTTGAGTTGCAAATCAAAGAAGTTGAAAAGCTGCTGTTAGGACTACTTCATCAAAGGACAACAGACAGAAAGCCCAGTTATAAAGGCAGGCTGGTAATTTCTAATAGAGCAACATTTTTTCACTTTAGTATAGGTAAGAATTTGATTTCGAGCGAAATTTGGTGTTGATAATCACGCGTAAATTTTTCAAAGGCAACAAAGGTGCACGAGCCCGTAGGGCAAGTGCAATTTGTAGTCTTTAAAAAATTTACCCGTGCTTATTAACTTCAAATTTCACTCGAAATCATATTAGTACTTGTTGATGATGTACATGATAATACATCACAGAAAGTGAAGACAGACGAAATTTTGAAAGCGAGCGCGCGCTATTTTTAATTTGCACTCGTGTTACAACTTTGCACTGGTATTACATGAGAATGCACTCGTTTTCGGCCAATCAAAAGCGATATTTTTTCCATGCAGTTTTCAGGTAATTTAATGCAAAAGAGGGTTAATTCTATGCAAAGAAGTAACAATCCAGACTGAACAATTCCTTTAACTGTTCAGCCGGACTTTGAACTTTTCTGCGCCTTAAAGATGTGAAAATATCATTGTATATTATTGTTTTGATCATACGCGGTTGTTTTGACTGAACGCACAATGTCATTTGCAGGGTTTGAATAAATTATTTTTGCATTTGATGCGTGCACTTTGCTCCTGCATAATTATGAGAAGCTATTTCGTATTGTTTCATGTATATTATTGATAAGTAATCACATGATTTTTCTCGTGAAATTTGGAAGAAATAAGCATTTGTAAATTTTTTCGAAGACCACAAATGTTAGTCTTTGAAAAAATTTACTCGTGCTGATTTATTCCAAATTGCATTCGAAATCATGTGATAATGCATACTAATATCGCATGCAAATTGTAATTGAATTGTCAAAAGCTCAATGGAGGAATTTCATAAAACAATTGTTTAGAGGGGAGAGAGAAACCTGGGTTTTTACGTCCAATTAATGTGATAGATGAAACTTTGTGCAACCGACCAAGCTGAGGCCTTGGCAGTCCATAGTGGTGGGAAGTCGTATGTTAGTCTACAAGTTCCTAGTTGAATTCTGCCTCATGTTTTTGTTTCATTGAACTCAAACAAGCAGGCAGAATCTTATCATCAATGATCCTTAAATCTTCTCTCCTTTTTTGACTTTTCTGTTTGTGATGTTCTCTCATGTTTACATTTTGTTATTTCTTTTTTCTAAAGCCCTCCCACCAGAAAACTGTGCCAAAACGCCGATCAAATTCTCTGCCAGGATACAGAAGGAAGGTAAGAGAATTTGAGTTAACTCTGAGATTATCAAAGCACAGATCACTTAACTGAATCAAACTGCAGATATAAGCAATTGACTAAGCCACCATCTTGTTTAATTTGAGCAATTATAATGCGCTATATAGATTTTTGTTTGCAATCGGTCAAAGTTGTCATATTGCCTATGTTGACTGTTTTCAGGACAGTAGCTAAATGTTTATATATAGATTTAAATTTTTTTTTGCAGAGTCCCACAGATTATTCAGAGGGTGACCTACCAAAAGAGACGAGAACGAAGGTACGATATAGTCTTTATGATAGAGTTAACACCGTCAAAGCAAGAAAGATAATGAATTCTTACGAAACTAATGACTCTGCATTTTTTTACTTTTTCCTCTTCGTGTTTCAAGAATCCCTTGTCGAGGCTGAGATCGGGAGACAAAAACCCTCCAGCGATGAAGAACATCAAAAAATAGATTCGGGAGCAAGATATAGCACAAAAGAATTCAGACTGACATTGTTTAAAATGAAAAACTTTTAGATATTGAAAGGAGCACACGAACATCTTTAATTTGGTTGATTACTCATTTTATTGCCATTCGATTGTGAGAAGATATTTTGAAGAAATGTTTTTTATTTGAAACTGATATAATGTAAGAAGATAAGAATATCAATAACTGACGGTAGAATGTGACGAATGCTCGTGCATATTGACAAATACTATCATTAGACTTCGGCTATTCGTGGAATGTCTCACCTCTGTGTTAGAATAATTATGACCGTGTGTATAAAGGTTGATCAACTATTGCATTAAAACAGTTAATAGTTTCTGCTTGTTATAACGTGAATGTCCGTCTACTATACCGTTCGTAAATAACAAGAAGGTCCTTGTTAGCCCTGTTATAAGATGAATTAGCCTTTCTGCCATGGTCATAGTTGCCAAGTTGAACATGAACAAAAATTCACTAGCACTCTTTAATCGATCAGCTTCCAGTATTTTCTTTAATTTATTGGAGTGTTTGAGAACTCACAATACATCTAGTTAGAACTCTTGTATACTTAGATGGTGATTTTATTTCTTATCTTACTTAGTTATCAATTACATTCATTTTGATTCCATTACGCGTTTCTCCAACTTGCTTTATTAAATAATTATTATCTTCACACTCGAATAAAGTTCATGGACGTACGTGTGAATGCAAATTCAAAGTTTTACGTGCCCGTAAAATGAAAAAGAAATGTTGTTCGTGTTCTCTCCTGATTTCGATTACATATTATTACAACACCTCAGTAACCATCATAATTCTGGTTTTTAAGTCAACAACTTCTTGTTGAAGTTTACATCATTGGCAGAAATAACATCGCGAGAGACTCGGAGATGAAAAAAATTGTGAAGTTTGATACGATCTTAGCTAATTTTTACATGTGGAGGTGAGCTGCCGCACTGCAAACAATATTAGCCAGGAACTCATGACCGATCATTACCCTGCCGATTAGCTCATACAATAAAGATTTTATCATGTCTTTTACGCCACTTCCTTTTTTGTGGTTGTTGATTTCCTTCCTATTTAAGATTTAATTTTTTTGAAGTTGACCAGTTTAAAAAAAAAAAGAAGAGCTCTTCGATTTATCATAAATCGGTGCTGAGGCGCTGCCGACCGAGAAGATTGATGGGCTCTGGGAATGAGAATGTTCTAAAACATTAATGAATTTTAAAACTCTGATTCACTTTGTGTGAAGGGTGGAAGATGAAAATCCTGTGTTTTCTTGAATAACTGCTCTCGCGCGAATAGGATCCCTCCGAAGATGCCCTCACCTCCCAGGCCAAAATGTTAATTAAGCGTCCCCCTCACGTAAGCGCCTCTCTCCCCCTCCCTCACTTTCTCAAATTAGTAAGGATACAATCATACTATCACACCTGGTGAGTTAAGTAGACATTTGAGAGTTAGGGATGACGTTTTCGACGAACCATAAACGGGAAACTGAAATTATGCCTATCACTGTACACTATTGGTCGTTATTTTCATAAAGTAAAATTTTGCCTTTAAATTGAACGAAATATTTTTGTTCTTGATTCAAGGATTTTGGGAAATGTGAGTTAACTCAGAGTCTTTTCTGGCGAATGACGTTGTCACATATTCATCTCGTCTGCTTAACAAATAAGGAATTACTCTTGACTGCATGTGCTCTGTGCTGTTGTAAAGCACGCAAAAAACGTCTAGGTATAGAGCACTAAAAAGTGTCGTGGGGAACACGAGACGAAGTCGAATGTTTCTCCCTACTTTTTGCTCCAGCCGCTTCCTAAGTGCTTTACAATCAAGTTCGTCAAATTCCCCTCGCATTACTTCTATTTTCAAAACAAAATCTGAATTTTCGAAGCGAACAAAGGTGTTATACTCTTGTGGTGACCCCCAACATTCCTTAGTTGTTGCGTGACAATCAAGTTCTGGATTATTTTCGAGTTTTTGAGTTTTTGGGTTACACTTAGGTCTTAGAGGGAGATTTCGCAATTCCCCCTGAGTAAACACGTGCCTTTGAACAAAGAATTATTATTCCAGTGTTGATGTTGTTCACAAATTAAGAAGATTAACTATTTTTGGAGTTCGTCCATTTTAAACACTAGACTCTCATGAAACATGCTTATATAAGCCGATCTGATTGGTTGAATAAGATAAAAGCTGTCAAAACTGTCAAACCAACAAAGTTCAAAATCTTTAATAGTTCACCTATTAAACTAATTCGGCAGGTCGAATTCAACACTTTTGCTTTAAGTTTTTTTTATTCTTAAACAGAATCTGGAAGTGAAATGTTCTGTGAAATCCGTCGAATTGTGGCTCATAAAACACGCAAGCTTTTTCACTTGACAAATTTTTTTTTTTAATAAATACTTATTCGGCGCAAATATCTATATGAATATATTCAGATGCGCCTTACAAGTTACAAACCCACCCAACCCAACCCAGGGGAGGACATCCATCACACAGTAATCTCGTGCGTGGGAAATTAACGTCTCCTGCCCCAAATAGAAAACAAACGGCTCAAGGCTTGTATTTTATGAATGAAAGACAGCCGAATTCACAGGAAAAGAAGATTTCTCGGTAACAGCGCCAAAATATCCAAAATAAAAGTCTTACTCCTCATGTGGAAACAGTAAGAAGGGAGCGGTGCAGTGGCAGGGCGTTTAGCAGATGCTTTAGAAAGCATTGAAAAAAAAATTAATTGCAGAAAAGCTGCTTGGTGAGTTGGTATATCTGGTAAGATGAGTGAGTGGCCTGTGTAGATTGCTGCTAAAATGGGTAAACAACTGACAAGCTCAAGGCTACTGTGAATTCCTTTTTTTTTAAGCATTAGTGAATCTAAAATCTTCTACTCATCCTAATCTCAACAGACCTGCTGATCAAAGTATATAAACTTTTAAAAATTTAGCACCACTCCGATAGATGATATTTTTAATTTACTCAATATGAAACAGGGAACTAAAATGTTCACGAATGATCCGGAATGTTCTGAGTTTACTGCGTCTCTACCTACCTCCATCCGGAGCAGCCTCGGTACGACCGATATTTAGTAATGGGATTTTCCCTTATTATTTATTAATGGGTTTTTTTCCCTTATTATCATGTTTCTTTTACATCATGTCTTTTTAAAGATCAGATTAACATCCAGGAGGAGAGAATCGTAGTAAGTCTACACTTTATTGTATTTACTGGCTTGAAGGTGAAATCTATTAAATCGGTCAACATCACAAGGATCTAAGTAGCTTCAGGGGATCAATATTTGTTTCTGGGCAACAGAGCTCGAAATAGGTGACTCGAGCTCGAAAGCCTATCCGAGCTCGAGTCACAACTCGACTAGAAGGATCCTGAGCAACCGAGCTCGACATAAGTGACTCGAGCTCGAAAGCCTACCCGAGCTCGAGTCACAACCTTTGTAATCGAGCTCGAATCAAATCGAGCTCGATTTGGTACTCGCGCTCGAATCAAATCGATTAGGTTTTAAACGCAGATTAAGAAGTGAGCACCTGGAACGGTTCTTGCGGTCCTAGTCCTTAAGCTTGCAATCACCAGCTTTTTAGACATCTAGATCTAAAATTTTTACATTATACATTGAATTAAAGCTTGCAACAACCAAATTTTTAATGTTAAACTCTAACCACCAGATTTACACGTAAGATTCACATTGTTCATTTTTACAAGTTACTTAAGTGTCATTGTCTGAGAAAGTGTTCCAGGGGCCAAAAGTTGTGGTCAACCGATTTGGCTGAAACTTGGCACAGAAGTTGGTTGCCATGAGATATTTCAAAAGCCAATCTGGCTCACTTCTCTGACTTTAAGTTTTAGAGTTTCAGGGGGGGTCTCATTTTTTGCTCTTTGAGCACAAAAAATCCATCCTTTCAAGGGTCATTTTGAAAGTGCCATAAAACCCAACTGGTAAATTGTGCTGCCAAATGAATTTGACTATGAACATTACTATAATAGAGCTTTCATTTCATGCATGTAACTTTGCCCTCAAGGTATTGGACAGAGAGGAGCCTGGGGCTAGAGTTTGGCCAAAATTAATGTCAAAATTACAACCCAAAATTGCCATTTTTCAAAAAATCAGTGTATCTACCTGCCTTCTTGCATAACATCCGTACCTATACCATTATTTACTTTATTGATCCAATTATCAAAATCACTTGAGAAAAATTTGGCTTACCACGGTTTGTTGCATTTTTGTCACAAACACTCCATGCCTCTATAAGGTCATGCAAAATGGAATTTTGAGCATAATTCATGCCATAAACAAACCAAATTGTTGACATGAAGCCCTGATTCTGTATTTGGTCAGTGAAAATGAATTGTTAAAGCCAAATCAGTTTAATTGTTTAGAAATACTCTGATTCTTACCTTACAATTGCTCTTAAAGGCCTTTGATTAGCACAAAAAATACCCTGATTTAGCAAAACAAGAGTTAATTTGTACTTTGAAAACCTAGTACCCATTAAATACCACAAATGATGAAGGCCTTACCTCGATATAACGACCTTTCTAAACGATGCTTGAATTTTTCATTGATTAATATTCAGTTTCAAGTCATAATTCTTCTCCGTTGCACCAAGTATGGAAAGTCTCTATATTTTGTCAGGCCTGATTTTTATTATGATTACAAGATAAAGTTAGCTTAACGAAAGCATTCGTTAGCATATAATCTAAGTCTGTTAATAGCCTGAACATTTCTTGTAAATACCCACCAGTAAAGGAGCATGACCATGCATAAATAGATATATACGTAGAGATATGCGAGCTGCAGTTTATAGCAGTGTCGATGTGACCCGTTATTTCAGAGTCCTCTAGAGCGGAGTAAATGAAACCATCCGTCAAGAAGTAACGCACAGTTAGGAGAGCTGGATAGTGAAACAAAAAACTTGTGTTGCTAAATACAATAACCAAACGAGGCCAGGGCATTGAGATGATGCAAAATCAACTGGCCCGCCATTTTGGACATAGGAGAGAGTGGGACTGGACCGAGGTCACGTTCTTCTTCCGTTTCGCGGGTATGTTTTATCAGGTGTAAGAAATTCAAGGGTAATTTCACGATGGCACTTTGTTCCTTTGGAGGGTAAGTGATCAGTGCGGTGCCACCGCATGGGCTCCGCACGAAACAGGAATGGTTCCTTTATTATCCTGCGAGAATGATATGACTGAATGGTTGAAGCAAAAGTACAAGGGGTCAGGTGCGTCCGGGACAAGAGGAAGACCTGGTCATACCAAACGTACAGGTGATTCAAAATATCTGTTAGGGATCATACACGCGCACAAATGGCTTTTATCGCGATCCAGTGGACTCTTTTCTATTGAAGAGAGACCACGATATTTTACGATATTGTCGTCTCAAATTGTTTTCTTATGACTGATTGAAGATTTCCCGAGGTAATTTACTTGATTCTTGCGAAGAGAAACAAACATTCAACAAATTGTTCACAGGAAGGGCAAAGGGGTTGACTAAAATTCTAACTTTGAAAGGTAAGAGCGCAGTTATTTTATTGCAGCAATCTCTATAACCAAAAACAACGATAAGAATAACTTGAAGTTGAAGGCTGTTTTTCGTCTGCTCGCTCTGTTTGTTTACATTCAGCTTTACCTGCGCAGACGCTTATCACGCAATCACAACTCTACCGGTTTCCTATATTTGCCAGTTTCGTTTAAGATAAGTGAACTTGAAAAATCTTTGCAAACATGCTGCATCGAAGCTTTTCGATGAAATTGACATTTTGAGCGAGAAAATGTCTTGTTTCACGGATAACTTTCTTGGTAACAAAAATTATTCGGATACATTTTTTAATTACTTATAATTAGTTATTTTAGTATGTAAATAGAGGCGGTATAATTTTAGGAATCTTATACCCAGTTTAAAACCTATCTCAGATTTATCGTTGTATTCTGAATCTCGACTAATTGATTAAACGTTTTTTTCTACAAAAATAGATGAATCACGATAAAAAGAAACTACATGTGATTTTGAGACGGTATTACGACTTGATAATGACACCATGGTATACGTAGAGAATGTTTTCCCGTATATGGACTATCTGCTTTCGCAACGTTAAGAAGTCCTTATATTGTCTCAAAATCTGCCGAATTAGTTTGTGTTATGGGATTTGCTTGGAAGATCTAAACTAATTAAACTGCGTGCTAATGCATAGGCAATGAGTTCACGTGTGTCCTTGAATGGGAACTGATCCTGAATCGTTCCGGAAGAGCAATTGACCAGGTAGATGTTGGAAGGATGACCGTGTGCCCAAAACATCGGTTTCAACTTACTACGCTTTATAAAGCAAAGGTAATGAATAGAGATTTTTAAAGGATTGATCGATGCGTGAGTCTTATCTGGCATTATAACATACCACAGGACACCCACCTTTTTAGGCAGGCCCTTTGAGGGTTCAGGTCATAGAAATACAGCTAAAAATCCCAGGTTACAACCCTGTCATTTCCGAGCAGAGCTGATTGTTCTTTATCGCGCAAATTACGTTTGGTTGTTGTTGGTTTTTTTTAGTTGCAGGCTCGTAATGAAACATCTCTTCCCTAGTGATGCTAATGCATTACTCACCTAACACTTTCTTCACTCAAGCTTTTCCCTAGATAGTAGATTTCTAGCTCTCTACCTGTGTGTGTATGTGGGAGGGGGTAGTGGGTGGAGGGGTACACATGCTAGTGAAATCGTTACACCCCTCAATCCTGAATTACATTTGTTAGACACGGTATGTTGTTAACTTGCGAATTGTGCTGTAGGATAAATGTTGTCATCCATGCCATGAAGAAAAAGCACCATCGCGTGTAAAAAAAGTGTCTAAAGCATTCACCCGCAAGAGGCAGGTGAGCAAATTCATGGCGGAGAGAATCTACAGGAACACTGGCGTTGTCGCTGCAATAGGCTCTGGTAAATATATACTGTATCTATGTTTTCTTATTTCTGTCCATGATACCCAGGGGTGGCACTGTTCTTCCAAGAAAATTCTTTTACTTTCCCCCTTTTTTTTTAAAGAAAAAAACTCTAACTGGTAAGGAAGATCATTCTAATGACATATTAACTAACTTTTATTGCCATTCTTATACGACTAGTAATCAAAACTTAACGACAGGCGGATGTACCTTGCATTCGCTACCCCAATTAACGCATATACTAAAACACTATTTTTTATGAACAACCAGCTCTTTCACCGAGAAAATAAAGTTAAAAGTTTTAAATTGTTTTCAAGCCCGAAAACCGATCATAATTTGTAAGCGCACTAGAAGGTTTTCTGTAAAGCGAACTGAAGGACTATTTGCTTGAACAGGTATCATTTGCTTCATTCCGCGTGTTCTGATCATCCTTTTCCTTGTACCATTTCAGCCATTTGCAGCTCATGCCGAACTCTAATTGTTGATGCTCCAGCCACCCCAGCTATTGAGAGACATGAAGAGCAAGTGACGAAACTAGCTGCATTCGCTTCAACACCAAAGTCTTTACCTAGGCAATTACGTCCACCACGCATTTCGACACACTATCGTTTATCCGTTGGATCAGCTCTTTCTGTCCCTAGCAGCTCTTCGCAGGAAGAACACGTAAGCATGTACTTACCAGAGGGCGAACGGGAGAGAAGAAACCTTGAGACACTAAACAATGCGATGGCTGTCATAACTGATGGTAACTTCACCTCATTACCCCACTATGTTGACTGCAAGTGGGAAGCACTGTCTGGGGCGTCGAAGGAAGAATTCATAATAAGAGCCGACGAAGTGGTTTCTTACGTACTAAACACCATTGCTCCTTCACAGCAGGAGCAACTTTGGGAAGGAGTGGTCAAACGTCGCCGTTCTGTTGAGGACAAAATTAACAACATCACAATCGATGTGGGACTCGAAGCAATTTTGCTGGCTTACAATGAATGTTCAAATCGGTTAACAAAAACTCAGATATTATCACTCATAAGTGACAGGTTCTCTCAGTCGGAACTCCAACAGCTTCTCCCAGGAATCTCATTACGCCAAGTAAAGAATGCTAGAAAGCACGCGTTAGAACAAGGACGCGGAGAACCAAAGACAAGGAACGAGATTTTCCGATGCAGGTTGAACATGGAGAAAGTTAAGGATTTTATTGAGTTCTTTTCGAGATCCACATTCCTCCAAGATGTAGCCTTTGGAACAAAAACATTGAAACTTTCTTCAGGTGAGAGAATCCCCATCCCTTCAGTGGTTCGTACAATGACTGCGTCGAAAATCATCTACCTTTACCATGAAGAGTGTCGTGAACATGATGTGGAGCCGCTCAAGGAGCGTACCTGTTTCCGTCTGCTAGAGGTTTGTAGTGCATCAAAGCAAAAGTCCTTGCAAGGGTTGGACAACACGTCTACGACTGGTGAAGAAGCATTCGAGACGATAGCCTCACTCGATAGGACCGAAAGAGGCTTGTGCTGATTACTGTACTGTGTTTGCACTATCGGATCCATTCGAAGAGAGATTTTCAGGTGAATGTTGCCACGATCACAACCAGGCGTGTCCCGAATGCAAGGGTATTGTTGATGTTCTGGAAGCTATCGAAGATACTCTCAGAAATGGAGATCTGGACTTGAGTGAGAAGCAAAAGGAGAGAGCAAGGTAGGACTTAGATCACGCCGTTTCCAGCATCGATGCTTGGAAAGCTCATTTATTGAGGACTTTTCAACAAGATCAAGCGAGACAAGACACACTCAATAGGTTAGATGACCAGACCATCATGGTCATTAATGACTGGGCCATGAAATTACTTCCCATGCGTTTCAGAGAAACGCAGTCCCAATGGTTCGCCAAGCGAAGAATTAGTTGGCACTTTTCTGCTGTTGTTCACAAATCAAACCATCCTGACTGTCCAGTAGTATCCGCAAGTGAACACACAATCCACACATATGTGGTTGCCATTGACAGCTGCAAACAGGACTGGTTTTCTGTTTCTTGTATACTTGAAGAGGTCCTTGTCTGTGTCAAAGAATCGCATCAATCAGTATGCAGAGCGATCCTAAGAAGTGATAATGCTGGATGCTACCACTGTAGTGCGCTTTTGTCAACCATCAATTCCACGAGCAGAAGGTCAGGCATCGAAGTAATCCGCTATGATTTCTCTGACCCTCTGTCGGGTAAGGACTTATGTGACAGAAAGATCACCCCTTGCAAACAGCGCCTTCGACATTATGTTGCTGAAAATCACAACGTGGAAAGTGCGAAAGACATAAAGAAAGGCTTGGAGTCCCCACCAGGAATTGCAGGAACGAGCATTGCGGAATGCAAGATTGACCAATCAGCGATGTCAACAGGCGCTGCTAATAACAAGATTCCGGGAATAACGAAATACAATAATTTCTCTCTGACTTCTAAAAGCATGCGCGTCTGGCAAGCTTACAATGTTGGAGAGGGCGTGGATATAAAGGGGTCTTGGCATGAACAAGATGTTTCTGGGCTCGAAAGGATTGGGGAGTGGACGAAAAAGATACCGCGTGTTACACAAAAGAAATACCAGGCAAAGGGAAAACACGATGTTACTGAGTCTGTCAATACTTTTAGCTGCCTTGAACCTGCTTGTATTGCCACCTTCAAGACAATCGAAGAGGCGGATGAGCACATGGACACAGGTCATCATATTATGACTCCAGAGAAGGAGTCCATATACGACAACGTACGTAGGCAGTGGGCAGCTGTAACGACATCAGTAAAAGGTGCGGGCCAGAAAATTGGCAGGACAGATTATGTTCCTGTGGCGAACTTAAGACTGAGCAAAGGATGGGCCTTAAAGAAGACGAAAGCGGCGGTGAGAATATCTTCGGGTGTCAAAGAATTTTTAACAAATTTATTCAACAAGGGAGCTAAGGATCTTCACCAAAAAGCTATGCCAGCAGACGTGGTGGAGCAAATAAAGGAAACTTTCCCAGTTTCAGAGTGGGTTGAAGTACAGACTGTCAAAGGATACTTTTCTCGTTTGGCTTCGCAGCAGAAGGGACTTCCAGTTAGCGAAGAGGAGGGTGAAGACGAAGCGCTGGAGAAAGAGGATTACATGGAGCAACTAGTCGGGGTGGCTGAACAAGAGATTGGCCTCAAGCACCCTCTTGTATATGATGATTTCAATTTTGTGATCTCTCTGCCGGGGTAGATTAGCCAAGGTTCTGGAAAAGCAAAAACTCAGTCAGCTTCAGTCATTCTGCGAGTATTTTGACGTGGAAATTTCTGGTCGTGCTAATCGTAAAGCATCGTATTACGAACCTCTTATACAATAAGCAAATTCCTGTGATTGTCGCAAGTAAACAATTTTTTTAGATTCTTCGACTTAAAACCCACCTTACTTAAAAATCAATGAGTCAGTTAAGGTTGCGCGACTCGTCGACTTGGTCCATTCATCGCACTCTCGCGTCCAAGATGATACAATAACAGTCACATCGCGAGGCGTTTCATGACTTTGTATAGGGGTGCTTCATATCAACATCAACACGAAAAAAGTTTATCATCCCGCTCTCCTAACTGTGGGTCCCTTCTGTGGTTTCACTTACTGAGCGCTAAAGTATTTGGGAAATCTGATAGATCGTGGGTCACCTAGATGCTGATCATTGCGGCTCGTATATATGTACACTGTATCTACCTTTGGTCACGATTCATTACTGTTGCAAGAGCTATTTAGGCTATAACAAACGTCAGACAAAGATTATCGGTTAACGATCGTTTTGTAAGCTTACTTTATCTTTTAAAATATGGCTTGGAAAATTATGGGGACTTTCCATGCTTGCGGCAATTCATGGAAATATGACCTGAAAAATATAAGTCAGAGAAAAACTCAAGTATTTTTATATGAAGGTAAGAACATTGTCATTTGTGCTCTATGACTGGTACAGTCAACACTCTCGTAAGCGACCACCCTTGATGCAGGACAAAGTGGTCGCTTATGCTGAGAGGTGGTCATCTACGGGAAAAAAATAAGAAATTAAGCTCAAACCGAAGTGATTTGAACGTGATTACATAAAATTATTACCTATCAAGCAAAAACTCAGGCAAACAGACAACTGCCAACAATGTCTCAAACCGAATGGCGCTTAGAACTGTTGAAAATTTGTACATAACATCTTTCATCAATGATTCAATCCAATTTTACCTATGGATCGTATTACAGCCTTTTTTGCTAGTCAACTGTTATAATCTGCGAGCACACTTGGTCAGCGCTTTTTGAAACTGAACTTTTGTGATATTTGGGCAATGATTTTCTTACAGTCGTACGTGATCATGCCGGGTGATCGCTTACGAAAAGCCAGTTCGCTGTGACAAAGTTGGCTGTACTAGGTTTTCAAAGAAAAAAGTCACCCCTTTTTTGCCCAATGAAAGGCCTTTTAAGAGCAATTGTACGGTAAGAGTCGGGGTAATTCTGAACAATCAAACTGGTTTGGCTTTAACAATTCAGTTTCACTTACCAAATACAGAATCAGGGCTTCATGTCAACAGTTTGGTTTGTTTATGGCATTAACTATGCTCAAAGTTCCATTTTGCAGGGCCTTAGAGGGGCATGGAGTGTTTGTGGCAAAAATTCAACAAACTGTGATAAGCCAAATTTTTCTCAAGTGATTTTGATAATTGGGTCAATAAAGTAAATAATGGTATAGGTACGGATGTTATGCAAGAAGGCAGGTGGATACACTGATTTTTTGAAAAATGGCAATTTTGGGTTGTAATTTTGACATTAATTTTGGCCAAACTCTAGCCCCAGGCTCCTCTCTGTCCAATACCTTGAAGGCAAAGTTACATGCATGAAATGAAAGCTCTATTATAGAAATATTCATAGTCAAATTCATTTGGCAGCACAATTTACCAGTTGGGTTTTATGGCACTTTCAAAATGACCCCTGAAAGGCTGAATTTTTTGTACTCAAGGGGCAAAAATGAGAACCCCCCTGAAACTCTAAAATTTAAAGTCAGAGAAGTGAGCCAGATTGGCTTTTGAAATATCTCATGGCAACGAACTTCTGTGCCAAGTTTCAGCCAAATCAGTTGACCACAAGTTTTGGCCCCTGGAACACTTTCTCAGACAATGACACTTAAATTAAAAAATTTTTACATTATACATTGAATTAAAGCTTGCAACAACCAAATTTTTAATGTTAAACTCTAACCACCAGATTTACACGTAAGATTCACATTGTTCATTTTTACAAGTTACTTAAGTGATTAACGGACTTAAGCAAAAATTTGAGTGAGACGAAAAAAAAAAGGGGGTTTTCTAAAGTTTTAAAGAGTCCAATCGCTAGAGTGGGTCGAGTCTTGTTCCACGGAGGAGTGACCGAGAGGCTGGTATCCAAGGAGCAGCGCATCTACACTTTATTGCAGAAGCTCAAAGACGCGACTGGTTAATGAAGTTTGGGATTAACGGACTTAAGCAAAATTTGAGTTCGCTGCCACTATAAAAATCTCGGGAAAGCAGGCGAATGTAAAAATTGAAATGTTAACTATTCGGTATCAGTTTTCTTATGACACCGTTATCGAGCTCATTGTAATGCAGGAACTAGGTAAGAACGCTTTCTTACACTTGTGTATCGCCCATAAATGGGTTCTCTATTCTTTCTTATTTCGTGGCTGCTAAACTACCGAAAATTACGAAACTTCGTGACCAGATGATGACGCAACTTTTTTTGGATCTTAACCTCTCTTCCCCTCAACCCCTTCCCCGTTAATATGAGAATAATCCAGAATATTTAAAAGAGATATGGTAAGGGATGGGACATTCATTTTATTGTTTAAACAGGTGTATGTTAGTGTCTAACAAATGCTCTCCTCCCTTGACGTTCCCTTTCTACCACATATTTAAAGATAACTTTCAACATGCCATTGTAAAGTGCACATGTTATTTGCAAAATTTATTAAAATTCATAATTGATAAATACGCATGATTACCAGCTGATTAATCATAACCACTAAATACTTAATGGATAAAAAACATTAACACAATTAGAATACAAACTATTTTAAACACTTGCATTAATTTTTTACCCCTCTAACCCCTAGAAGTGATAAACAAGAAACTTCTCCCCAGAATATCCTTACATTATCCAACAAATAGGTAATGAGAATACTCATGTTTATCAGGTAGAAATTGTCATCTTGATCTAATACCCAATTTGCATAAGCTATCTACAAGGAATTGTGTAGCAGCTTGAGGGGACAATTAAGAAACAGTTTCAAAAGATTGAGAGTTAACTTTTAATTAACAACTGCTCTACATCTGTTGAATGTGATACAGCACGACAACAATAATTTATATTTTTCTTTGATCAAAATTTATAAACATGCATGATTACTTAGTGAGTAATCATAACCACTAAATACTTAATGAATAACAAACATTAACATAATTACACAACAAACTAGTTTAAAACTTGCATTAATTTTTTCACCCTTTGACTCCTAGAAGTGATTAACCCTTTAACTCCCAGATAGAATTTTTAATTCTCCTTACTATCAACCATACAATTCTTATGATGTTAGGTCAGAGAATTTGGTATTGATCAACTAATTAACCCAAAATTGATATTCTTCTTTGGTCTCTTCACTTATCTGGTTGATATTGTATTAATATTGTAGGGAGAAATTCTGTCTGGGTCACTCGTGGCAGTTAAAAGGTTAACAAGAAACTTCTTCCCATAAAATCCTTATGTTATCCAATAAATAGGTAACAAGAATACTCAAATTTATAAACATGCATGATTACTTACTGAGTAATCATAACCACTAAATACTTAATGAATAACAAACATTCACATAATTAAATTACAAACTAGTTTAACCCTTTAACTCCCAAGATCTGATTGTTAATTCTCCCCTGTAGCTGCTACACATTTCCTTGTGAATTAGTTATGAGAACTTGGTGCTAGATCAAGATAGCAGCTTCTACCTGATAAATTTTAATATTCTCTTTACCTGTTTGCTGGAGAATGTATGGATATTGTAGGTAGAAGTTTTATGTGAATCGCTACCGGGAGTTAAAGGGTTAAAAACTTGCATTAATTTTTTTCACCCTTTAACTTCTATATGTGATTAACAAGTAACTTCTCCCCATAATATCCTTACATTATCCAACATCTGACTACTTCTTCAACTTCTTCCTTTGGCAGCCAGTTCTTTTTCCCCTTTTTTTCTTTTCCCCTTTGGCATTGATTTCCTTTATTTCTTCTTTTTCTACCTTTTCTCCTTCCTCACCTTCCATGCTGGCATCTTCTCTTCTACATTCTCCATCTTTATCTACTCTTGTGTCTTTTTTCTCTTCGCTCTTTTGCTTCTTCTTTTCTCTTTTCTCTTTCCTTTCCTTTTTTCTTCTTTTTCCATTCTTCTTTCCTTTTTATAATGGTCTTGGTGGTCTTTATCTGTCAGTAAAAGTGATGATGGTTTAATCCTTTAACAATCAACTCAGGCATTGGTAATGGATTTTACCACCACTTCATTATTGAGGTGATGCAATAAAGAGCATTTTAAGTCTTCTAAGATAATAATTTTGTTCACAAGTTTTGCTAGAAAACCTACCATAAACCTCATAAAGACAATTCTTACCCTCGACTGTCGTTTGCAGGATTTCCTGTTTGCCTAGTGGCACATTTCCCTTGAAGCAAACCTGCAAAGAAATGAAGGGAAGGGAAGTATGCTGCACAAAATGGATAACATGGTGATAAATAATTCAGCTTAAAAGCAAATTCATCTGTACAGCATACCTCCCTCAAACATTTCCACTAGAGTAGATACCATTTGCATTTTCTTG